AAGGTAAAGAGGGCTGAAGAGTGTTTGGGACTAAGCCATATGAAAAACTCTCTCTGACACTCTAGGACAAACTTGAAAGTGACTGCTGTTTCTTCTTTTCTGCTTGTGATGCTTGTATGTGCTGCTGTGCTTTGCGCCTGTTTGTTTTGCATTGCTTATGGCTATTAAGAGTAAGTTACTGTGCCTATAATGATATTGCAATTTCTGTTTGACCTTTAATAAAACATAATTGTGATCACCTTGCTGTGTGTACAGTTTTATGTGCCCTTGAAGAAGGATGTTTATTTCTAACAGATTCCTATGAGTTAAAAATGGATGTTGGCCTATGATTCAGATTATATAACAGACATGTCTAAACTCAGGCCCAACAGTCAGCATTGTATTTACACTTAATATTACTATGTATGGCCATCGCCCGGGTAGGTGATAAAAATAGAATTCAGGGGGTTATTCTTGGTGTTTCAGTGGCATTTTGGAAAGGGCTGGTAAATTTAATTTTATAGCTAACCATTTGGCTTAATTTAAATATATGTTGCATTAACTTTATAAATACTTTTGTGTCATCTTATTAAAAATACACTTAAAAGGTCTAAACAATTTACCTGATGGGTTACAAAGCTAATTATTTTAAAAAAATAGATTACCTTAAAGTTTGAAACTAGACTGGAGCTGCACCCAACTCCAGTGTGGTCAGAAGTACCTGTATTCCAATCTAATTAGATTAAGAAAGTTTAGTAGCTTCTGAGCAACACAGTATTTTATATACCTGTGGCAAAAACTGGTAAATGAAAATACCTGTAGCCCTTTTTGTACTGGTGCCATACACGTACGTTTAAACGAAACACAAGTTACAGATGTGCGTATTATTTATTTTCTTGTTTATTACCAACATTTAGTGAAATATAATTTGTTATCTCAAACAGGAGTCACCTCACCACCCTGACTTCCGGTATTATTCGTGTACTTTACTTTTGGAACGGGTGGCCATTGGTTAATAGATTTGTTAATTACGTTCGACGCCTTCGTAGTTCTGATAAATCGCTAAAAAGCCAAAGTCTGAAGATTTTAGAGGCGCTGTCTGTGCATTTTCAGCTGCAGCGTTAACATCTTTATTTTGAAAACCATCTAACCGGAATTGGTGTTGTGGTTAGCGGAAGCCACACTTTTAGCTTCAGGAAACCCGCTGGCAGGAAAAACCTTTCTTTCTGTACTGAATCTGGTCAACACCAAAACCGACACAAGCCGAAACGGAAACGAATTCCACCTAATGGACCCTCGGTTCAAGACGGTGTCCCGCGGGGGTGTCTGTCGGTAGCAAGTCTGGGTGCGGAAGCTCCGGGCAGGAACCAGAACCAGGCCCGGGCGGACACAGGCGGCACTGTGTTTTTTTGACGCCGGCGGTTGCTGCTCTGTGCATCATTGTTTGTATGCTGTATTTAGGGTCATTGTAATGTGTTGGCTGTTGTTTGGATTTAGACAGCACGTCTCTGCGGATGGATGTAGAGACTGGAGCATGGAACATAGCGTTAGCTTCATTGAGAGCTAACAGCGGATTTAACAGAGCACAACTTTCAGGAATGAGCTACAGTCTGTGCTTTATTGGATGAAGAGGACTCATTTCACACAGTGTAACCTCTGTCATTCGATCTATTAGCTCCTGTATAAAGGCCTAATGAATGTTTGTGTTTTGAGCACAGTGGTGTAGCTAAAGTCTCTAGCTGCTAACTTTAGTTCAGCCCGTCTCCACCGCCCTAATGAAAGAGTACAAAGTTGTTGTTCTGGGCAGCGGCGGCGTCGGAAAGTCCGCGCTGACCGTCCAGTTTGTCACCGGCACCTTCATCGAGAAATACGACCCGACCATCGAGGACTTCTACCGCAAAGAGATCGAGGTAGACTCGTCCCCCTCCGTGTTGGAGATCCTAGACACGGCAGGAACCGAGCAGTTTGCTTCCATGAGGGATCTGTATATCAAGAACGGTCAGGGATTCATCCTGGTCTACAGCCTGGTTAACCAGCAGTCATTCCAGGTACCTGCGCTTTTAGAAAACCCATATAACAATGAGTATGGTAATGTTGATTTGGAATAAATGCAACATGGCAAGTGGACATAGCTGCTGTTGCCATTTTTTAAACCTGCAGGGGTTGCCCAAAATATTTACCATGAAACTACATTGAACATAATCACTGTCAGAAAGTCGAGTCATGTTCCTCTGCTGGAACACAGCTCCTGTCTGCATTTTTGTTTCCTTTACTATGTTTTGTTAGGGCATAAAACCATAGAGTTTTAAGATCTAAAAAGAACCTATAAAAGTTTTCAGTCAGGTGTTGGCCAAAAGTACTGTGTAGTAAGTGTGTATCCAGAAATGCTGAAATATTTTAGATTATTTCTAGTAGATTCCATTTTTAATTCTCAAACTTTTTTAATTGCTAATTGCTTCTAAGTTTGTCACAATCAACTTTTTTTAAAACTAACCTATTTTGTTTCATTTTCTTTGATGAAAAATTTGATTTACTCAACTTTGAGAATTAACCAAGTTTGTAAACAACATAGAGATACATTTTATATAATATTTTGCTGTTTACTTGCAACCGTAAATACTTAAAATACCATTAAAAGAAAAAAGATGCTGTGGTATCACAGTGTTGTCTCTTATGTTGATGTATTTTTAACATCTAGCAGGTGGTGTGAAACTTTGACTCTCATTGTTTGTTTTCAGGATATCAGGCCAATGCGAGACCAAATAGTGCGAGTGAAGCGTTTTGAGAAGGTGCCATTGATCCTGGTAGGAAATAAAGTGGACCTGGAGTCTGAACGTGAGGTTGCTGGTTCAGACGGGCGAGCTCTGGCTCAAGAGTGGGGCTGCCCTTTTATTGAAACTTCAGCCAAGAGCAAGACCATGGTGGACGAGCTGTTTGCAGAGATTGTGCGGCAGATGAATTATTCCACACTGCCAGAGAAGCAGGAACAGTGCTGCACGGCCTGTGTGGTGCAGTGAGGAACAGGTAAGAGTTGTGCCCTTGATGTATTTGCGACTAACTTTGAAATGATCAAAAAGGAAATGATCAAAAGAAAATCCCTTTGCTAACTTTTCAGTTAATCACTGATTTTTTAAAAAAATGTACCTGCAGTGTCTGTGTAAAAACAGTTTACAGGCTGAGGAGAAATGTGACACGTGGATGACTGTAGCAATTTAGTACAGCGCGACCGAGAGGGGAAAGATTCAGCTGGAAGTGTGAAAGACGAGTGGGTGTTGCTGCAGCTCATTGCAAACAGTTGCTTTAGTTTGTTATCAAACGATTGCAGCGGGTCTGCAGCAGGGAGAACACAACGGTCGAAGCAGTTTAGAGCGGGGGGAGTGAAGAGACCCCACTGAGCAGAGAGTAATGAAGCAGATCAGCAGAAAGAGGAAAATGTAACATCCTGAGAGAGAAATTATGTTCCAAAACAGGAAGTTAGTGTTTGATTCACTTTGAGGTGCTGCCTGCTATGTGTGTGTAGAACATGAAAGTCGACTTTAATCCTGTTAAACAGCTCCATTGTGATCATTTTTGTTCTTCTTTTTGTTCCCTCTTTAGAAATAGATGCCTCATTCGTCTGGATCACCGCAAACAATTTGATAAACCACAGGACAACGTGAATTCAGCCCCTGTGATTAGACCTTACTGCCGTCGGTCAGGTTTCTCACAGTGTTTTCTGACTGTCCATCACAGGACCAGAACATCGCCTGACCAGACAGACGTCAGTCCTATTTTTGATATTATCTTAACTGTTAAAGGACATTTCTGCTGCAACCTTAATGGCCTTTGATGACCCAGGAGGGAGTCGGACACAGACTTGGCCACCTGTGACAATTGTTTTGTTTTCTTTTCATTTTAGTCAGAGGTATCCCAGAAATAATAATTATAATAAGCAAGTGTTGTGTGATGTTGCAGCTTCTTTTTTAAAAGCTGCTGTTATCACTATTATATACTTTGTTCTTACTTGTATTTCGTCTCCTGTTTGGAATTTCACTGAGTATTTGATAATGTTGAAACATTTTAACTTGGCATGCATACTTGGACGAGTTTGCTGCCCTGTGTGAACAATTAGAAATTAACTTCAGGGAGACTGGACTGGAATTCAACTTTGTGAGTTAAACCATCACAGTAACAGCAACAGTCCAGTGTGCTGGCCAGCAGTTCTGGGCAGCAAACCATTTTTACTTTTGCAGCAGCCGAACTCATCTGAAATCCCGCATGCTCACAACTGAAAATGTTCTGCTGCAGTCAGAAGGAAGAGCCACATAACTGTTTTTAGCCTGAATCACGTGAACACAGGTCTTCCATTTTCTGTTTTCTCCCTCAGAGTCCGAGTCTGGGAGAAAATGATGGTGGAAGGACCACAGGAAGCTCACACTGCATATTTGTGTTTGAATTTATGTTGTGTGCCGCTTAAAAACCCAAGAGATGCTGATTTCACTCATGATATAAAAAAGTTCTGGCACCGATAAACTTTGTATTTTTTCTTTTTCTTACAGTGACATATTTATTAAAATAAATGACATGGTATTGGGTAGCCAGTTTTAAACTTTTAACTTTATACTAGTTTTTGTTTTGCTTTTTGTGACTTTTCACAATTAATGATATACTTGGTTTTTGTTTTTTGAAGCTGAGAATTTAACAGAGCCTTAAAGAATTTCTGTTGCACCCTGGTCTCCTGTTTCTTCTTTGTCTCAGTGTTTCATGCTTGACGTGGTTAAAAAATAACCTTAATGCTGGTGGGTTTGGTTGAAGATGTATAAACGCTGCCTTGACGCCAACATCAGCCCCACAAAAGCTTCTTAAAACTCTTTAAAGCTGGATCTTAGTCTTGATTCCAAAAAAGTCCCAATATGCCACTCTTCATATGATTATATGACTAGCAATTTACAGAGATGGAAATGTTCACATGTATAATAACAAAATATAATAAACAGAGACAAATGTGGAACATCTGGGGTAAGAATACATGAACTCAGCCCTGCAGTCAATAATTATTTGGAAAATTCCATGAACTTTGTTGTAATTATTTCATCAATGGAGCCAATAATAGAGATACCAGATGTTCTCATCCACATGACCTCGCTGGTCCGGTGATTAAAAGGTCTACTGGTACACCAGGACTTGATTCAGTCCACGCAGACTTAATGGAGAAAATTACTTTCAGCTTAAATACAAACTGAACATGTAAAAATAAAACTCTGTATCTATCACTACATGCTGTTTTTAATATATAGACAAGTACTGGCCACGTTAGGGTTTCATTAAATTGCACCTCGGACCATTGAGTCAAGTTCCTTTTTACTTTGTTCCACTTTTAGAAGTCTGAGGTTTGGTCATGTACAAAGTGCTTGGTGTGAAAATACCTCCTGTCCGTCCATCTCACAGCGAGCAAATGCTCCTCAGTGGTGAATCCTCATCTGATGTCCTGTGGGCTTGAACCATTTAATAATGTTCTCAGCCACTGGGGCCATTTTAGTGCACAATAAGAGACAAACTTTGATGCCCTGTTCTCTCTGTGCAGCTCTGTCAGCAGATACATGTTCCAGCTATAAGTGAGATTTCACGTTACATACTTTTTTTGCAGTAATTTGCAAAAATGTGCTTTAATGTCAGCTGGACCGACAGGGACTGTTTAAAAAGGACAAGTAATAACTCACTGTTGATTTAACATGTAGACCTGCTGAAAGAAGACGTAATGTGTCGGAGGAAATGACAAACTACTGAATCAGAAAGAGACTTCTGGGGGAAAGGGCCACATGTATTTATTAAAATGACCTGGTTTGAGACAAACCTTAAAAAACAACAACTTTATTTAAATATTAACAATATTTTAGAACAACAATTTCTAAAATAGTCTGTGATTTGTATTACACTTTACTGTATAAACACTTGTATAAATCATCAAAAACCTATTTGGGTTCTATGTAGGACAAAAATAAAGAGTTCTTCTTTTGTAGAATGAGAAGGAAGTATTTTATGCCATTGGCTGTAATTACATGTAACCCCTCCAGTCTTGAACATTTAATTAATTTAAAACTTGATAACACAGGAAAAAGGGCCTCTCAGTGATAGAGTGGTTTGTGCTCCTCCCATACAGACAGAACATCAGTTCACTAGTCGTTCTGTATAATTTCACTGTTACTCTGTCTTCATCCATCTGTCTAACAAAGCAGGATTAGTTAATTGCATACTCCTATGCAACCATATAAATTAATGTTAATGTTAATGGTTGGTTATCAATATTTGACCCTATATTGACCCTATATTTGAGTAGTAGAACATGAATAAAGTTAGAGGTCACATCAAGAATCTTTAAAAACCACAGTAGGCCCCAGAGATGAACTTTAGAAAACGATTGCACTGAATGCAATCCAGTCCAGTCAAATATAACAAATGATGTCTGGCCTACCACAACACCACACAGTCTACAACACTGGACCATGTAAGAAGCAGCCAATCCTGAATCAGGGCACGGTTGGTGACACAATATAAAAACTTTGCATCCCAACAGATAAAAGAGAAAACATTGGAAATAAAGAACAAGGCCAGAGGGAAACTATGGAGACAACCTGGTAATTAAAAGATCAGAAGGTGGAAGAAAAGGACACAAGGAGTAAATGAAATCACGAGACGCAGGTGAATCACACCAGGATGGGCAGACAATCACAAAGACTGAAAACTGAATCAGGAAGTAGAACAAAACAAGGAAATACATAAATGTAACACAAGACACATAACGGGAAGTCGCTGCAGACGAGACACACAAAGAAGGAGAATCTACCAAAAAACAACCATGAAACATAAAACAACCGACCAATAAATCCTTTGAAAATAGTTATACGCCCTAATGTACATTGGGGCTCATCAAAGATTGATAAAGTGTTAATATAATATATATATATATATATATATATAAATAGACATGTTGCTACAATGTATTATTTGTGCTCATGCACAGCTCTGGGTGAATAAAATAGTCACAAGATGTGAGGTGGCACATTACAACAAGCTGTTGACTGGTATTTTTCCACTGCTGCAGTCTTATACAGGGTACCATTACACCTCCTGGCCTATAGATGACAGCACAACATTTTACCAGTAAAGTGAGACTTGAGGCGGAAAGGGCAGTGACGTGCAACGTCACTGCGGGATGAAGCCGGTGAGCAGAAGACTGTCAACTGTGTAACAGCAAAACAAACAACAAACTGGCTGAAAAGTGAAAGGTTTCACTTTTACTAAAGTGTAGGTAACACTCCGTTTAGTCTACCGGAAATAGAAAGCAGAGCAGACATGAAGACCGTCTTTGTCACCGTGGGAACCACCAGTTTTGATGAGCTCATTGAAACCGTCACGACATCCGAGACTGTTCAGGTGAAACGTCTTCTTTATCATCATAGATCGTAGATTGTTAAAAGTGTGGAGAATTGTACAGTGTAGTGACGACATTCAGCGCTTCACCCTGCAACCATACTGTACGTTTATTTCGTTATAGTAAAATTAAAAATATAGTAGAAATATTTTCATTGCGACACAACACACAAATGTGACCTTTGCCTTCAACCCACCACCTTAGTGAGAAGGGGGCAGCTCAGCTCAGCGCCCGGGGAGCAGTTTATGGGCACGGTGCCATGCTCAGTGCACCTCAGAGACACCTGGTTGGTGGATTCAAACCTGCGACCTTCCTGACGCAAGTCCGCTTCCTTAACCAACAGGCCACCACTAACAGAAATAGTCGCAGTCATCCATCCATCCACCCATTTTCTTCCGTACCAGCCCCTCGAGTCACAGTCATAATAAATTTATTTTGTTTTGTGTAATATAAATGTACACTAATATAAAATGATGGTCTAAATTAGAATGTTGTCTTAATCAAGAACCACAGTGCAGCCCCACACATACAGTAGTTAGACCTAGTCTCCCAGAAACAACAAATGGATGTGTGAGTCTATGTCCCAATTCACAGTCTGCAGCTGTGATGATGATGAATGAAACTAGTTATTTTAAACTGTGCAGCCTCCAAATTGCGTCCCATTCAAAGTACAGTCATCGTGTACACACTGTGAAATATCTATTAGCAGTAAATTTTATTAATAGCAGCACAGCACTAGGATTTGCATCGGCTGTGGCTGATGTGCGGTACCCCCAGTAGACAGTATTTGCAACCTATTAGGTGGGAAGGAGATATAGACTGTATGAAGTGGGAGCCATCAAATTCATAGTAACATATTTATGTCCACATTCACTTCACACAAACACAATCTGAATCAAAAGGGAAGAGATGAAAAAATAAAAATGAAATAAACATTTAGAAAATACTTTATTTTATTTTTAAATATGTTTTATTGACAGTATATATTTTAAACATAAAGTTAACCCAAGTAAACTGTCTTGTTTGAAGAGCAGAGAGTCTTTTTGTTAAAATGGTTGTTTTCCAACAGAGAGTTAGACCTTGGGGCTGAGACTTGTGACCATGTTTATATTAAACTGTTCTTCCTCACCTCGCAGGCTATAAAGGCACGTGGATATGAGCGTTTGGTTCTTCAGGTTGGAAGAGGATCTGTTCTTCCAGCTGCTGACAGCTGTCCGCACATCACATTGGAGGCCTTTCGATTCAAAGACTCCATAGCAGAGGACGTGAAGCAGGCCGACCTCGTCATTAGTCACGCTGGTGAGAGAATTACAAATGCATCCTTTCTGACCTTCTGTTTTGCTCCAACCAACAAACTTAAAGTAGAAATGCTCAGTGTTGTTTCCATCTAGGGTCACTGCAGACACCAGATGTTTACTAGAACACATTGGTTTTATTTTCCTCTATTCTACGTATGTTGATAATAGTTAAAATGTATAAACAATATTTCGAGTGGAAGACTAATAAGAAATATAAAAATATATAATACTGACTCTGTTCTAATTGTGAATATAATTTTGTTTTTTTTTATTTAGGTGCAGGAAGTTGTCTGGAGGCAATGGGAGCAGGAAAGTCTTTGCTGGTTGTTGTCAATGACAAACTGATGAACAACCATCAACTGGAGTTGGCCCAACGGCTACACCAGGACTCTCACCTCTTGTACTGCACATGCAGGTACAGTATGTGTTTTTTTTCTCACTGCATCACTTCATGAAGAATAGATGGATTTGAAAACAAACTAAACTTTTCTCTCGATCTTCCTATCAGCACTTTGACAGAAACTCTGAGAACCATGGACCTCTCAGTTCTGCAGCCATTTTTACCTGGACAACCAGAGAAGTTTGCAAACTTCCTGGATAATGCCCTTGGTGTTCAATGAGACTCTTTAACTACTGTACTGCAGAACAAATGGATACAACTGGAGATGGTCTACCAAATATTTCTATTTACAATAATGTTTTTTTCCTTATGAAGTGTATGATTATGATAATGTTGTTTATGCTGCTAATGATTCAACCTACAATTGTAAATACAATAAATTAAAATATTTGTTTTCTATTTCTTATGAAGTCCCAATGAACTATTTGTTGTTCATTTCTTCTTGATTATTTCTTTTTAGTTCTTAAGAAGTGACTTGTCTCTTTATTTTGTCTTCTTATCAACCCTTGAAATTAATAGAAATAAAAAAGCTTTCATAGAATTCCAATTCAGATTTTCTACAGTTGAGAGCATATACAAACAATAGTGTTCTTCAGTGAAATATTTATTGTCAGAACAATACTGTAATACTGAAAAATGTGTGCCATTCTGTATCTTACTAAACAATATTATACTACATTATGCAATGCTATGTTACTGTATGCTGATCAAGTAGTTTGGAATGGTTTTAGTTTGACATGTCACAAACTGAAGACCAAGACAATAACAGAAAATCAAACTGTACAAAACATGGGTGAGGGTGTGGTACAACCCTGCAGGGCACACCTCATATCACAACCACACCTAAGATTACGTTACCTACAGTATACTGTGCATTACATAAAATGCATCTATATCAACAGAATAAAACTGTATGAACCATAGGAAATGTGATTCCCAGAGGCACCGTTGAGGTAGCTCTGCAAGACCTTAAATCAGAATGAGTCTGACCCTCTACTAGTGAGCAGTGAATGTGAAATGAACCCATCAGCATGTTATGGATTTGTCTTGACAGAGGCTTTGACAGCTTGCCTTAAACCTGACCATCCAGTTAGTAGTTTTTCATTTCTTTATTTTACAAAATGTCGCTGCTACAGATCGTTAAGTAACTGATGGACTGCGGGCCAAGTTGCTGGAGTAATAAAAAAGTATAGATCATGATGCATATTAATCAAAGTAAATGGTGAATTACCCCCATCCTTTATGAATTAAAATTCACCACCTGTCTGATTTCCATTTATTTATAAGAAGAAGAAGAAAAATTCACATTTGCATAAATATTGCTGAATTGTAATGTCACTCAAGTCTTCTGGTGCATCACAGTGAGGCGATGAGTTCCAGCTCCTACCACAGGGGTAAAATAATGATTAAATGTTCGACCTTGTGGATCACTGGCTTTCTATATGTCCTTTCATCAGACAGTACAGAATGAAACCACCAGTTCTAATTCAAATTCTGACTCTTTTCTGTGGCATTATATATATATATATATGTATATATATATATATGTATATATATATATATGTATATATATATATATGTATATATATATATAGGCCTTTAGTCCTATGCAATCAGCCTGAGCTGTTTATACATCAGTTATGTATTCCCATTTTAATCTTTTCTTTTCTTTTCTTTTTCTGGTTATGTTCACTCTTTTTAACCTATTGCTTAATTCTATTCCAGTTGCACCTGGTATGAACTTTCTGCATCAACATGCTATGTGTTTGTGTTTTTCTCTTTTTGAATTTCTAAAGTCTGACTCGAACCACAAGCTAAATCACATTCGACTAGTCACTTGAATCACCCCTGATATTCTGCTGCGTGGGTTGAACACGTGCACGTAATCTTCACCAAGTCTCACTGTATTACATAGTCGCCACTCTGGCTTGCTTTGATATATATCACATCATGACAGTATTTATTTAGAGAACTTTTTCTATAATTTGCTCCTTATTTTTTTATGTTGGCCTGTTTGCGTGTGTGACATACTTCACTTATCAACTTTTAAACTGCTGCTGTTCAGTAGGTGAGTAATACACCAGCTGACGGCCAACTTCCTTCTCAGGAAAGTCCCTGCTGTTTGTTACTTTAAAAGCTTCTGTGGAAGCCGAGGATTCACGGTGATATGAAACTGAACGAAAGATGGGACTTTCTTTACTTCCCGTCTCAAGCTGTCAAACATTAGTCAATTTGCAGTCTGATTTGGGGATTAGACTGCACAGCTGTTTCACCATCTTGGTCCGATCAAGAAATGTTGTTTTTTTAACCAACAGGTATGAAAACAGAAAACTACATAATGCTATTAAAAGAGGCAGGTTATTAAAAATGCTTAAAAGAAACAGAACTACATTCGATCTGAAGTGTCTGTACGTCCATTAAAAATAAAAAATAAAACTTTTCAATAGCTAAGATTTTAGACACTTTACAGCCATAAAGTATGTTGTTTGATTTACTTTACGCTGGAGTGTTTTGATTCTGCCTGGTTTGTTGCACGGTTCACATGATGTTTGTGCAAACTGCATGCTAATCTAATAGAGATGAACACTGGTCTCGTGTTTCCCACACTGGAGGTTCTCCACACTCGTTTTCTTTTTCAAGTTATTTGTGCATTTTGTTTATTTAATACATTTCTATTGGAGCCACACAGTGGCACAATAGATGTAGATAAATGTGTCAAATGATACAATGATAATGCGACAACAGAATGGTATACAATAACAAATGTGGCTACACATGTCTTTCCACCGTGAACCTGAAAAGAAAAAAGCATACAACTTAATAAATTACAAAAAAGCCGTAACCAAATGATTTACTGTGGATAAAATAAAAGTAAATGTACAAGTTTCCATCTTACATCTTTCTACGTAATTTCTCAAAAATGTTCATGATTTTTTTCTTTTTTGTATTTTACAAAACCAAAAAGTTTCAGGCCATACTTTTTGTTCCTGTGGTCTTCAGAAAAAACAACACACTTCATTATCTGTAACAAAATGTGTTCAGTTTATCAGAAAGAAGTCCTGGAGTTAAATGTAGGCGTAAAAGCAAGAAAAATACCAGAACAGATTCTTGAATGCCAATAACTCAAATAGAAGTCACAACTCCTGCACTGGGACAGAAAAACAAGACGACTTGAACCAACGCAATACCACATTTTCTGGTAAAGAACAAACCCTCCATTCATCTGGAGCAGAATGGACTGAATCAGCCCATACAAACAGCCACAAAACAGAGGGTCCATCAAAGCAGGCTGAATGCAGAGGTCAGTTGTGGACATCACATGGTCAGAGAGACTGTTTCCAGTTCTTGTTATGTGTTTCTCCCAAGGTTCTCTCATTTTTTAAAGTTTGGATCAATCTGGGCAATTATCAGTGATATCAGGTTAAATTTAATTTTTCAGGTTCAGTCACATTTACTCCATATGTTCTACTGCGTTACCAGGAATACTTTACCAGAAATGTATAATGTATTTTTATTGGTTTGACCCCAATTCCCCAATTATACACTTGATGTTTGACTTTGTATTGTAACCCACTGTAACTTTGTGCAGCTATAAAGTTAGAAGGACAGCCTTGTGTATTTGGTAGCTTTCTTAAATGGCCGTCTAAACATGTCAGTCAGTAAGACATTGGCATGGGGTTAAAAACCCTTATGTCAAAAAACAGATTTCCCTATATTTTGATATTTTGACAAAAGACATTTGCTACCAACTATAAAAAGAAGTTATACTGGTTATTAATCAGACATTATTCACATCTGCCTCCTGTCCTTATTGCTAGTCTTACTCAAGAAGGATTACCTCTCTGTGTAAAATATGAAATAGAGCTTGTTGTTTGTCCTGGAGTTACTTAGCATATTTAGAGGAGCGGAATTTTGGGCCTGATGTGACCTTTCCTATCTGCAAAGACTTTGCTGCCAAGAGTGTGCACACACATAAATAACAACTGTGCCTTTTGCAAACAGCCTTTTCTTTAAAGGAGGACTGCAGAGAAAATATTTGCTGTTTATTCAGGTGCTAAAAAAGTAATCCAGACGGTCACTTGGGGTGCAGGTGAAATATTCTATTTCATATGTATACTCACTGCAGGGAAGGTTTTACTTAAACGCTTTGGATGATATGCAATTTTTTGTGAAATCTGATTCAGAAGGTAACTGTTGACTGTAGTTGGTGCTGTTAATATATCAGCAGGCCAGTCAACACATTGGTGGGCCTGCAGTCCAGCAGTGTCTGCAGTTTTGTTAAAATAGCTTGGATTTGATGACTTTGGCAACAGGGATAACTTCTCAAATTTTAAACAACAACAGTGGTTTGAACACCGTTCTTGCCACAGTAAAATTAAATTGAAATTTCCAAAATGTTACTATGTTTTATCTGTAGCAATTTATAAATGTATGATATATACTCAATACATTGATTAAGTAATTGTTATTGTGCCCCTGAATTGTGTGCAGACACCCTGCTCTGCCCCTTCGTTGTTGTTTGCAGATGTTCATTAGCATGTGGTGGATGTGTAACCATATAAACGAGCCCCTACTTTAAGCCCCGCCTCCGCAACTCTGATTGGCTGCACTGTTACCGGAGCTGTCAGCTCTTCCCGAGGCAGCTTTTCTCTGCCCTCAGTCCACAGACTAGTTAACAGACTGTGGCCGGCTGAGCGAAGCAGAGCGGCTACCTCTCTGCTCTTTGTTCGCTGCTGTTGGGAAAGAACCGGAGAGAAGAGTGAGCCGCATCCATGCAATAGCACATTTATTTGGTCCTGGAAAATGATCATCTGTACGAATAAAATGGAGTATTCTCTGAGAACACAGTGCCAGCGAGTCCAGAAACAGGTAGGGTTTAATTCACATAGGAAAAAAATCACTTTATTTTACCACAGCTGAAGCTAACGGCTAATAGAAGAGCTTGCGCAGCCTTCATTCATTTGTCAAAGACAATGTTTTATGTCACCGAAAACAAGCAGAAATTGTGGTTATTGTTTTTTTTTCTTTTTTAGTTTAAACTGACGTATTGGGACAGCAAGTGTCTGAAGTGTGAGGGTGAAGGTTGAAGCAGAACAGTTTTGTCGGCGTCTAAACTTTCACTCGGAGTAAAGAAGCGGAAAGTTGTTATCGAGCTAACGCAGCTAACGGTTTGACCAACAAAGTCGCTGGTATCAGACAATGTTCAGAACGACAAAAAATATTTTTAATAACATGTATCATTCATTTTAGTATTGTGAGCTTAGTTTAGAATAAGAAGCGTTTTAGCTTCCATTAGTAGCTGTTAAAATGTCACGTAAAGCGGGTGCCGTTTTTTTGAATGAGAGCCGCTGACATTAACAACACCATTAACACAATAAACGACTTGACTTGAATAAAAAAACATTATCACTTAAGTCAACCGTTAGTTTTTCCACACTTAACACCACTACAAGCAAAAACAAAAAACAAAACAGTTTCGGATTCTACCATCGTTAATCAAATGATATGATTAAACTACAAACTATATATTAAAGTAAAAAAATCAGTTTTTACTAAACATTTCCCACATTTTGTGACGTATTGGAGGTGTTGTGCAGTGTGTACGAAGGTGGCTGCAGCAGCTATAGGTAAAGATGACATCATCCGAGCAGATATGTGTGTGAAGTAATGCAGCACAGTTTGTTTATTCGAATAATAAAGACAACAGAGATGTCTCTAAACGAAGGACACATACTGTGCCTGAAATCCGCCAGAATCGACTGGGATTACTCCGTGTTTCCCTGCTGCATGTCGGACACTTTTATTGTGCTGTTATTGCTGGCTGAAGTGGACTGCCAATCAAAGTTGTTTTTCTCCTCTGTGGCTGCATTTTCACTGTGTAACGGAAGGGGGGCGCTGTCTCAGGGTGCGCTCCTTTGCATGAGTTGTTTGCTGCAGATTAGGGGCCAGAAATTGAGCAAAACAGGGAGGAATGCGGGTAGCCATGGGATTCAGAGACATGTACTCTGGTTACAAGTCCAATTTTGTGTTTCACCACCACCTCACACTGATTTTGCTGCTCGTATTGACTGTATCTTATTTGGCATTGACTGCTCTGGTGTGTATTTGACACACAGTGGTCTGTGAGTGGTGGTAAACATCCAGTGGCTGCACAGAGGCACATTTGTGTTGTAGCAGAGGGAAAAACAACCGCATAAGTATACAGTAACTTGAAGCAGTTGCTCAATTTAAGCTGCTAAAATACACAGCAAATATTTGTCAGGTGTGTAAACACCATTGAATGTGATCACCTGCTGTGTGGGAATGACATGGGTAATTAATTTTAATCAGAATCAATCATTTTTGTCTTTGTTGGGTCATGGCTTGTAAAAATATGTTATTATGCTTTTGCAAAGTCTTGTTTTGTTCACAACCCAATCACTTTATGGGCCTAAGAGAACCAAGATAACGTTCACAGTTAAGACATATACTGTAGGTTCTATACCAGTAAACTAATCAAGGATTAGTCAACTATTGTATCAAATGCTATCACTGACGGCAGATCAACCATTTCATCTAGTATGTTTTAGTGTATTACAAAATAATGCAGTTCCGATTACTCTGTTCCTTTTTGACAGTGAGCTGTATCTTTAGGTAAATATCTATCTAAATATCTTTAGGTTCAGGACAAAGGAATAAATGATTGCTTTACTTGTTTATTTTTTATGCATTTATTTTATATAAAGACAAATTTATTTTTTGTTCATTTTGATGAATAAGATAGTAGGTACATTCTTCAATGGTGCAGGTGTGGTTCAACTGTGAAAGTGTTGTTATTGTACATTCACTCCTCGAAACCCCTTTGTTCTACCTGCATCCGATGTTTTCTTACTCCGGTCAATCATCTATCAGCAGTATGTGGATTCGGACAGTTGTTTTTCTATGTTGCAGGGTTTTTGTTTTCCTTGTGTTGTGTATGTGCCGTCCTCCTCGCTTCCTGTCCTCCCCACCTTCATGTCTGTCCTCGTTGCAAACCTCTTTTGGTCGCAGCTGGTTTAGGTTGCAGTGCCAGAACCAGCTTGTGTTTCCGTTGATTTTTTTTTTTTTTTCGGTGAAGAGGGGTGTTGTTTGCACATGGACACTGTTGTATGATTCATATGGACCCCCCTCACCTCCAGACTCAATTGGAATGCAGATTAAATGTCCTTCTCCTGTATCTGCTGCCCCTCCATCCCTCCTGCACCCCACCATCACTTACATGCACACACTCTACACACTACATGTGGCATGCATGTCTCGTGTTAACACAGTTACCTTTGATAGACTGGGGACATCATTTTGTTCATTTCTTTGTTTGCCCTCTCTCAGTATTGCCCTTCGTTATTTCCTTTCCTCTTACTGTGCTGTTGTTGTTTTTGTCAGGCAGCTATCAGAGCTGCTCTTTGTCTCCTTTTACCTTTCTTTCCTTCAGTGACGTCACCTCTGTTTTTCATTTCATCTCTGGGTCTTTCTGTAGTCTAATCAATAAACAAATGACCTCTTCTCTGTGGTAAAAAGAGTTATGTTTAGTTTTGAATGTCAAATCAACTACACCTTGCAATTGTGTTCCTATAAAAGCTGGTGTGTGTGTGTTTTTGTTTGTTTTTGCAGTTGGACCATAAATCTGAATTCATCCCAAGGTTTGAATACAGCAGCTCTAATATCAACGTGACCCTCATTCCTTTGTCACCCTCAGGCTTGTGTTTGACTTAGAAATGGCTCTTTTAAAATCACTTCCTGCAGGGCATACAGTACGCAGAACAAATTGGTTTGTGTGAACAAAGCACACTGTTCTTGTGCTTTGTGATGCTGTTAGCATCAATGCAAGGCCAAAGTGCTTTGTTATACCATACACAATCACCTTAATGATGACACAATCTTCACATGGATTTTAACAGCTGATGTAGGCAGACTGAAGGACTGCTTTAACAACACTACTGTTGTCTGCTGCATTAATGGCTTGTTTTCTGGAAATAGAGATGAAGATGTCTGGATAGTTTTTCCAATTAATATATGCTGAATTTGATGTGTAAATATTGCAGGTATTTATTGATTATTTGTCTTATTAAATAGAATTTGTGTGACATTTCATTTTTAGAGACAAGTGACTACAAAATACATTGTTTCAATTCGGAACCAGTCAAAAACTGCTTTTATTTTAAACTGACTATAAACAAGAAAATAGAGGTATTGTAAAGAAAATCATCTCAAATATTAGGTTTGACTAGGCTGCAGTTATGTTTTCTTATGCAATACAATCAGCCTTGGTTAACACTGTTCAATTCATTTCCTGCTAATATTCACAGTAGTTCCTGTTTCATTTTGACTTGGACATTTGATTTTGTTTTATATCAATTTCATAAAATACAATTCTTAAAATCTTTAATCTTGCTAGTGCCAAGTTGTGTCAGTGACAGCTTCACTCTTTTTACTTTTATGATGATATAACAATCAACATAATAATATTGTTCTCTTACTTCAAAATGTTTTTTTTTTTTGTAACTTCACTGAACCACAGAGTGCCACCTGTGTAGGCAGTAGTTCACAAGCTGTGCTCTGCGTGGGCAGGTTGTTATTCAGACTGTATAGAACTCTACTGGTCTAACAGTGTCCATGAAAACTGTATTTAAACAAAGAAGAAACCACAGCTCAGATTCAATGGATCAGTCTGCATATGTTTTTATTGGAATTTTATAGAGGCCTCTGTGTTCTGCCCAATGCATTTTCCTTAAAGAACTCATTATATTTTTAACAGGACAGAGTTATGCCTAATAGTAGAAATACAAAACTTTGACCATAAACATCGGGTGATTGTAGACCAGTTTCCATTATTTTTGAAATGGAATTTGAACAGCTGAAATGTACAGAAAAGCTAAAACAAGTTATGGTAATATGGTAAACTTGCTACTGTCCCTACTTATTGGCATGTAATGACATTCAAATCAGTTTGCCTTTTTAGAAAGGATATTTTCTTGCAGTTGTTTCTTTGTGATAATGACTGCAACCTGACCCCAGATGACTGATGCAATAAAAGTCTGCAACAGCTCACCTTTGCTTATCATAAAACAATTTGTTAGTTGTTGTGTTTTAATTTTTAATTTATTAGTTTAATTACGTCATTTAAATGGTGAAATTTTGACGGCAGTAGTGACAATGGCTACAATTCACAGGGATTTTAAAGGACTTTATTACTTAGCATAAAAACAGTAGTATAGTTCTTAAGAAGGGAATTTACAATTAGAAATGTTGAGGCCATACTTAAGAAGTCCTTTATACCTCCCACAATGTTGGTCAGTAATTATATTTTTTCAACCGTTACATACACTGTTGTCTTATGTCATGTAAAAACTCTTTATTTCCAGAATACTCTAAGGGTGTTGGATCATGCAGTCGTCATATTAGTGAAGTGATAGGAGATTCTGCTCACCTTCACTGAAGGACTCTTGTCTGTGATGTTTCAAACTCCTGAGCTGTTCTTCGCACTAAGAAAATAAAAAAACTTCAAAGCCTTAAAGCTTCCAATGGAAGCCTTGAGTGTGCGGAATCTCAATGACCATTATTTGTAGTAGTAACAACCCATAACGCAGGTTGGGAGTTGATGTTAAGCTTTTTTTCCAGCCACTGATTGAAAACTGAGATGATTGACATTTGATGTCGGTAATAAATCACACTTACAACATGATTTTTGCTTTCTGTATTGCTTTGCAATGCTAACTGGCTAAGTTCTTCTTTGTTGATGGCGCAGTAACCTAGATTTTGCAGAGCAGAATACTAATCAGTCGGTGTTTGCAAAGAGACTTGTGTGACTGCCTTCACACAAGTCTCAATAGCTCTTTGATTGGCAGGCACCTGTGTGCTCGGAGTTCCATCTATACCATTTCCCACATGTTGACAGACATGAGTGGGTCAAGATCTGTGTCTGGGCTCCCACTCCAACCCTTTTACACTTCTATTACTTTCTTTTCATTTTTTGTGGTAAGATTGTATGTAAACTGTGAAGACAAGACGCAGACTTAAGGTTTGTTTTATTTGCAGTGTATGGATATGTCTTGTAAGATAGGAGCATGCACTCTATTTAGGTCAGGAGGTGGAGCCTGTTTGAAACCTTCATCCACTGCAGGGAGAAGTGAAATCTCTCATAGAGCCACCAGCCAGATAAACATGGTGCTGAATGTCAAGGAGCTCTATGGAGCTGAAGGCCCAGTGTTAGCTGTTTGCTTTGACTGTTCGTGACCCACGAGGTGTCCGTGATTCCACTGCACAGTAATAATTCTAAGCAGCAGGCTGTGCTGTTTCTGGCACTCTGACCAACAGTCATATAGTTGAATCTGCAGAGAAACATTTGGCTCTGGTCTCTGCTGCCACTCAGGTTTCACATACAGGGGAACAGTCCTCAGGCATGTGTGTGAGGTTGAGAGGGAACGGCTGTACCAGCGAGGGAAAGTCAGCGTCCCTCTCCAGTGTTGTCTTGGCTTTTGGCACGTCCACCCTGGTCTCAATCACTTTACTGCTGTACAGCTTCCTTCTTTTAAGGCCTCCCCAGCCCAATGTTTACTTCATTTCAATCCACTATGGTCCCTCACTGCATGTACATACACACACACACACAAAACAATGTACTGCTTAAAAGTATTAAAAAAAAACAGTTTTTTAATTTTACTAAGGTTATACAGGTGGACATTTGAGTATCAATTGGTCTTATTTGAGTCAGACTCTGCTTATTAGTTCTAGTTGTTAAAGCAGTAATTGGAAATTTAAATACATGTTAGCCCAAGTAAAATAGTAAATAGACTTAACATTTCTCAGATTTGAAAGAACCAACTACACAAGTATTGGATGGATGGATTCTGCTTGCTCCTCTATTCTGTAGTGCAAATTCAAATGTGTCTAATAATAAAATGTTGTGACTTTATTGGGCTAATTGTAGAGGATCCAGAAAGCATTTTTTTTGCCTTTGCTTTGGCCACTCTTAAATATGTCAGATAAAATGAACTTGCTGTTGGCTATTCAGTTGATTTAAAGAGAATGAAACAAGCACGCGCACACACACCAAAGCACAGGCATTGAAATCTGACCTCATCTTGACTCAGCCTACCTGTTTTGGCTAACAAATGATCACTGTCCTGTTCTTCAAAAAGCTAGTCATGTCTGTGTTACAGGTTTTTAATCCATTACATTCAGTATAAAAGAAGCAGCGTGTAATTATGAGCAGTATTTGGAAGGAAAACTTCTCATTCAGGGGCCACGCCCTGCATTAGTGGTTTCCATTGTACCCTAACATTTAAAAAGGGTGACCTGTTCATATCATGGCAGACTGTAGAGTCACTTTGCATGGGTTTTCTTAGGATAATTTGACTTCTTTCCACAGTGGAAGACGTGCAGATGTGTGTGTGAGTGAGCTGCTGTTTGTCTGTTGGTACTATGATGAATTGGTGACCAGTCCAGGGTGACTCTGCTTTTAACTACTGTCAGCTAGGTTTGGCTACAGCTGACCCCTGACCCTTAACAGGATTAAGCAGTTGAAGATGGATGGATGGATGGAATTCACACCTCATTGTTTTCTGGCATCACGACATGTTGCTGCTCAGCATGAAAAGGCCCAACATTCATTTTAGCCACAATCTGATAAACTGACAACTGACATGTTTACCAGTATTGTTAACATCAAATCTATAAAACAGCAGTTTGTAGATTTAATTAAATCCAGGTAATAATTTCTTCGTAGGTTTACATTTTCTCAGTTGGCATCTCTTTTGCTTTGTCCTGCAGGTGGCGGTAAACGGAGAGAAAGAGCGAGTGTCGCTGCTCTTCATGAAGGCTCTGGTCAGCAGGGGGAGCGTGGACGCCGTGTTCCAACAGATGGCCTCTCACCCTCAGTACTTGGAGAGTTTTCTGCGGACACAGCACTACATCCTGCACATGGACGGTCCCCTGCCGCTGCCGTACCGCCATTACATCGCCATCATGGTCAGTGACCTCACAGTTCCTAATATGCTCTGTCTGCTATTAAATAGACCGAACCAGGAGCAGTTTTCCCTGATTTTTATTTCCCTCTGACCTTTCTTGACTTCCAGGCTGCTGCGCGACACCACTGCACCTACCTAGTGTACTTGCACTCAGCCCAGTTTCTGAGGGTGGGCGGTGACCCACTGTGGTTGCAGGGTTTAGAGGCAGCGCCCCCTCGCCTCCGCCTCCTCGACCACATTAACAAAGTGCTGGCCCACCAACCCTGGCTGAGCTCCTGCTCACACATACAGGTACAGCACAGCAGGACAAAATGTTACCTCTTATTGCTGTCCTGGCAGAAATGGTCTAATTTCATTTTGTATTAGCTCATGAAATAAAGTGTTTTTACTTTTACACACTCTATGAAGAAATACAGTGTTATGCATATCTGTAAGGTGACTGAGGAGGCAGAAAAAAATTCATAACCTACTTTATGGTACATATTAAATATTGAAGGTAACACCGAGATGATAAACTGTTAAGAAGAACATGTTGAATTGTTGAGCTCCGTAATGGGCAGAAGTTTAGCGATTTATTAGTTCTAAAGTTTGTTTCGTGGCCATAGCTTCTTCTTGTTTATCATTTAGTTGCAATGTACCTGCTTTTATTTGTCTCCAGTTGATATGTGATCTAATGTTATTATTCATCTTGTGTTTTACTGTCATTTACTTCACCTACAGTCCCTATTTGCACCTGTTTACTCCTGATTGCTTTTTTAATTAAGTTTTGAATTCATTTACAGAAAATCTTAAACTCTTTGATTTCTAACAAATCATTTTTCTTATAGCTACTTTTGTCTGTGTCAAGATTTAAATTCAAGGACATGTTTAGAAATAAACACATGCCCACATGTTTGTCTAGGGTGTTGTAATACAATACGTGACACCTAAAAGCGACCTGCTTTGCTTCTTTCTGCAGACTCTGCTGAAGTCAGGTGAACAGTGCTGGTCTCTGGCTGAGTTGGTTCAGGCCGTGGTGATTTTGGCTCACTGCCACGCTCTCTGCAGCTTTGTGTTTGGATGTGACACAGACTCAGACTTGGTGTCTCGCTCCAAATCTCCCAACGGTACCCCGCCAACCTACTGCCCCTTTGATGCTGCCAACGGCAACACCAACGTGCCTCAGTCACTTGCCACTCCATCTGAACACATAACACGAAGACGGGTAACAAATCAGCCAAGCATTTTTTTTTTAGTTTATGATCAAAGAACACAGAGAGTGTCTTTCTCAGTGTCCTGAATGTTTTGCTTCTCAAAGATTTGTCATTCTAAGAAACCATTTGCTCTGGTTTCATCAAAGATGCATCCGCACAGAAACTTTCTTGTGGTACAAATATTCTGTGGCTGTGCCACTAGACTCAAATATGTATATGGAGTTAAATAATTTTTCTTACTGTGCTTTATTTGAGACAGTGAAAAAAAAAAGTCTTGGGAAATAATTGAAAATACTCCAAGGTCCAACCAGAAGTCCAAAACCTTTAAATATTTTTGAATGGAATGGAACTCACTCAAGAAGCTTAAAAAATAAGATATTTTTCTGTTGTTTTAAATATCTAATGTATTATTTAAAAGGCTTTTTTTTACTATTTTATGTTATATTATACTGAATATACAGTATTAAAATGGTTAAGAATATAACTGCAGTACGATGTAGTTGTAGTTAGAGTAACAGCAACTGATGCCTTTTTCTTCTTGAATCCACCGTTTGCATTCAAGTTTATCTTCTGTGTCTGCTGTGTTTATCTGGACAGTCTCTAGACTCCAGTTGTGACATGGTTTGTCTTAAAGAGAGGATTCAAAAGTCCCAGGAGGAGCGTGAGAAGAGAGAAGATCGCCTCCAACAGACGCAGACACTCCAGCAAACAGGTAGCACACTTGGCTGCCAAATGAGACGCACAGTTTTAAAGTTCCTGCTCATTTCTGATGGAGGTCTTCACTGTTAAATTTAGTTCAAATGCTGTGAAACTTGAGCTACAACCGCTCCACTGTCCAAGTTATTGAGGTCTCTCTCTCCCTCTATCTCTCTCTCTCTCTCTCCCGTTCCCCATCTCTCCCCCTCTCTCCCTGCTGTCGTCATTTCTTTTTTTAGATTTGGAAGATGAGGAGGAGATGATGTGCTTCGCAGACCCGTCCCGTTTCATTACAGACCCCAACTTCTGCTATCAGGAGTTTGCCCGCAAAGAAGAGGACCACTTCCAAGTATTCAGAGTTCAGGTAAGGACAGCAAACTCATCCTAGAGGCATCAGACGACTCTTGTTGTCAGTAAACGTATGTGCGTGTGTGTGCGTGCGTGCATGCGCGTGTGCCACAGGGAATATTTGTAACCAACTGGTAGATTAGATTAACACTGTGCTAAATTCATGGTCTCTATTTCTGTACCAGGGACCACAAGCTGTCACCTGACTGACCATCTGAATGGTTTACTTCATGGTTTAAAATATCAAACCCTTTTTTTTCTCCACAGATTGCCTCTGTAAAAGAAAATAAACAAAAGTGTTTAAAACAACAAAAAATGTAGAGTTGAAAAAGTAAACCGTCTACTGCAGACTGAATAAGCCTTTGTCTAAACTGACTCCCACCGAGTGTGTGTATCAGATGCCAAGTGGCTCGTGTCCAAATTGAGATATGTTACATTTCTGTCATCAGTCCGCCCCAGGTGCGGCGTCTTGATCAATATTAACATTTTATCACACTTGTTCTGCTTCAAACTTCAAATTAGTTCCTTAAGAGTAAAACAACAACAAGAGAGCCTGGAGGGAGTTACTTGTTTTTCCTCAAGCAATTCAGGCTTAAAAGATTAGTGGAAGTTGTCATACTTCAGGTCATAATTATTTCCTCAGGACAATAATAAAGAAAGTGCCTTAAATGTAATTCTGTTTCCTGTAGGACTACTCATGGGAGGACCACGGCTTCTCCTTAGTGAACAGATTGTATTCAGACATCGGGCACCTCCTTGACGACAGATTCAGACGTGTGACCACACTCCCCTCACTGCACAGCTCTGACCTGAAGAGGGCGATCTGGAATTACATCCACTGTGTGTTGGGAATACGGTGAGTCCCATGTTTCCAACAACAACTGCTTCCTCTGCACCTGTAGTAAAAACTTCTTCACGTTTTGATCTGGCGGTGAGAAATGTGGTTTGTGTTCACAGCTATGACGACTACGACTACAGTGAAGTTAACCACCTGCTGGAGCGGGACCTTAAGTTGTACATCAAGGCTGTGGCCTGTTTTCCAGATTCTACCAAAACACCAGTGTGTCCACTGAGTTGGGCTTTACTTAAAAATTCAGAAAGGGTGAGAAGATTTTAGACTCATGTCTTTGTCTTTGTACAATCTCTAATGCTATCTCTAATGAGTTGTCCTTGGGGTCATTTTGACCCTAAAGTTAAACATTTTCTTCTCCTTATGTAATCAAAGTCTATTTAATTCCAGAATTGTTGTAGAAGGTTAACATTTAGTTGGACTAAAGGTGTATACACTAAACATGCTGTCAGGTCAAACTAGGCTGGTTCATTTTTGACCCCAGAGGACCAACATTTGTTGTATTTTGTAATATTTAGTTTTTTTAAGAAAAGGAGTTTCTTTTAGTGATTGATGATGAAACTTGTAAAAGATTTTTTTTTTCCTCCTCAGATACATGTGAACTTACTGATCATGGAGGCGAGGCTGCAGGCGGAGCTGCTGTACGCTCTCAGAGCCATCACTCAGTATATGATTGCCTAAGTGCTTGAAGACAAACACGTTTTGGAACTGTTCATTGGTACAGAGAGCCAGGGACGTGAGGATAAAGGTGCAGCGTAGGGGGAAGAGAGCAGCACTTTTAAAACGACAGAGCTTGGTGGTGTTTGTGGCTGTGCCTCATGAATCTGCTTCTCTTTCTCTCGGAGTTGATGTATTTGTACCGTAGCGTGCCACAGTCCCTCCCCCGTTTTCTCCCCCCCGATCCTCTCTGAGTGTAGTTCTCCTATCAGACACCCTGGCTCTCAAATGTTATGTGCAATTATTACTAGCGTTGTTTTAATTTTTACATGTGTTTCCAGCTCAGTCCTTGGGAAAAACTGCTCTAAGTTGTAGCAGCTCTGTGTTACACTGGCCAATCCTGTCCTCTTTGGTTCGATCGGTCTCCTTCGTATTAACGATGCTTTCCCAAAAACATGTCTCTGTTCGAGTTGAATGAATGTCAGTGGGAGACCAGGGCTTCTTTTGTTGGTTGGTTTGTTTTTGTTTTTCTTTTGGGGACAATCCTCATCAGTGTTGAAGGACAGTAAAAGGACAGAAGGACGATCATTTTTGCCCCCCCTCCTCCATCCCTCCCCAGCATTTGCTACAAATGCTGGTCAAGAACAAACACCACGGTGACACTGCTGGAACTTTCACATCACTATAGTTTCTTTTAATAAGCACTTTTAAAAAAAAAAACTTTATATATTTATAATGCAAGGTAGCTTGTTAGTGGACAATAGGACGCACGGTGTGTGGGTCCGAAGCCTTTCTTTCTTGTCACTGTACGAAGTTGTAACAATTTTTTTTTAGACAGTTTGTCCTCAAACTTTCAGACTTGTTTTTTTGTGCTCAAGTGACCCAGTGACATTTCCTTCTCATCCAAAATATTTTGACAAATTAGCAGAAGGGTTTTGAGTGAAGACTGACGTTAACACCCGTTAAGAGCGTTTGTACTCAGGTGCTCAGCGGGCCGTTTGCTGCATTGAACTTCAGGCTGAGTCGTTTGCAGAATGATCTTTTTTTTATTGTTTGTACTGAAGAGCATCAGGAATAATCCAATCAGACACTTGAGTTTCAGACCAAAGGTCAATAAACATTTGCAGTGAAGCAATGAACTGGGCGAATGAAACGTGCACAGAAGCTGAACTGAGCTGCTCTGCTCATGGGTTGAAGGGCAGATGTTTTGATGATGATTTGTGCTAAAGCTTTTTTTGCGAGCTGTATCAAAGCTGATTATCAAGTGAAAAATCCACGGTACAGATTGCAGAGCAGAAAAATGTGCAAAGTCTTTTCTTCTTTTTTATTTTTTACAGTTTTTGTAAACAGTTGAGTTTTTGTTTTTTTGTTTTGTGGGTGTGATGGTGAGATTTGTTGTGCTGCAGCCTGGGTTAGACGTAGAGGTGCAACAGACTGTGTAGTGTTAGGCTTTTGGACGTAGAAAAAGAAACAGAAGTGCATATCAGCTTAAGCAAAAACACTGTCGACACGGGTGCCTTCAGGACAAAACTGGAGCGTGCTGAGGTGGAGGGCTGTGAACACCTCCACCTGACAGATGAACAATAACTTGTGGTGTTTCCTGCATGAATGAGAAGTGTGTTTTCTTACGTTGGTCAGCGCGGTTTACTGATCACACACCTTTCCAAACCCCAGCAACTCAGCCAGAGCCTTTGACGCAGATGGATGTTCAAACTGTTCAAGTTTAGCTGATAAAAAAAATGGACAAATAAATTAATATAAAACAACTTAAAAAAAGAACAAAACAAAAGCAAAAAAAATGTTTTTTGAAAATGTGAAAATTGTTTTCTATAAAGATGCCATATAACAATAACTGCAGCCTCCTGTTTTTCCTTTTGCTACAAAATACACAACATGAAAATAATAAGAATTTTGTGAACAATTTTACATTATTACACGTGAAGTAGATTTTGTTTGTTTAAACAGAGTAGTGTCAGTAAGTTATTTTGAAACAAGAAGAAAGGAAATGTGTTTAAAAAGGACACGTTAATGAAAAGTTCGACATCATGGTCGGGGAATTTAAACAAATGTAATATGATATTTATATTGGTAACTAAATTCGAATACCAATATCAAACGATGGTTTGTTAATTTATTCGAACAACGGTTAACCGCAGGCTCTATTAAATTTATGCTGTACTGCTACTGCCATCTAGGGGTAGACTGCGTAGAGTCGTGTAGAAAATACAGTAAAAGAGAGAATTACTGTACGTTTTGATGGTGACTGCTTGACATTATTATTCTTTTTTAAAATCTGATATGCTTCCTTCTTTATAGGTACTCTGTCCCCCTCGACCTCCACTGCCACTGCATTTTGTTCCTGGTGTTCTTTGGGTTACAGGTCTCTCCCTACCTCACTTTCTTACCAGTTTTTGGAATTGTTTTCAACTTAATTCTCTTACCCCGCCAGGCTTATATTTGACATATTGGAAATATTCCACAGCACAGCATCATGTCACAAAAAGTACATGCAATTAAATATAATGATCTACTTACAATTCATAATTTACTTTAATTTTCTTATTTAAAAATTATTTTTTTCTTCCACAGCCATCTGTTGCCATGTAGTGGGAGATTATTTAATTATTCTGCCTTACAGTAAATAAAAAGTTCCAACCAATTAAGAGAAGTTGGATTTTCCATGGCGACACACTGGTTTGGAATCCCTGTAGAATCTCCTGATTGGTGAGTATTAAGCATTATTTCTTTCTATCTTTTCTCAGCTTGCTTTCGCAGATGACACCGCAAACCTTTACTAAGTTATTTTACAGTGAATATTATTATTAAATCAACAGGTTAAAACATGTTTACTAATATGTGGATTAAAGACTCAGACACTAACCCGACTGCAGGGACTCAGACAAAGTGGGTTAAAGAGTTTATTGAATTTATTTCTGCTGTTCAGAGTGCTCCGTCATCTCTGTCTGACTTTACAATGTTTAGAAAAAGAAAAAAAGAAGACCGATGAGAGGGGGTCGGCACAGGAGGGAGTCTATCAACATTTTTAATCACACAAAAAAACATAATTGGCTTATACACAACTTAAGACCAACCCACCCTCCCTTCTGTGAAAATAAAAAATAAAAAGAGCAAATACTAAAATACTGTATCAAACTGAGGGAAAGTTTCAATTTCAAAACCAACATACAGGAACTAAAGTACTACTTTAGATAAAACTGAATAGAAAAATCTGTTGACTGTTGTAATAACATAATGGGGGCAGTAATAATACTACATGTGGTCTGTTTTAAGACGGGGACATTAAATTGGAATTGAACCCAAAGTCAAATTCAGCTGATCCTCAGACTGAACTAAGTCTTTGGGACACATGTCCAACAGGGGCATTGGCTGCATATATAAAGACCTACACACAAAAAACATGCAGTTAAACAAGCTGGTCTGCTGCACTAGGAACATTCATGAGAGGTTAATGTATATATAAATATGTAGAAAAAAAACAGACAGGGAGGATGTTGAAAAAAATTATATCAAGATCTTTGTGCTGAACACGGAATTCCAGGGTGATTCCAAAGGCGATTCCTTGTACATTCCTGATATGTCAGAAATCACACAGCACCAATTAACATATAAGGGGATGAACAGAAACGAGAGAGTGCTTTATGTGCAACATGAAATATGTAGAAGTTGCTGGGATTCCCATTATGGATAACAAAAGGTTGAGGTTATAAACAAGGGCATAATTATAATTATATACAAAGAAGCACCCCGCCCCTACAAAAGTTTAACAGGAGGAGGGAAAGCTGACCAAAGAGAATCCATCCTGCAACTGAGAAACATCATGCTATAGTGTTTTAAATATTGGCATCATTTCATTTCACACTTTTTTAAATTTGAGATTCCAAACTTTCACTTGTATTAAAGATCAAAACAGACCAGTCTGCTGTAACAGACTGCAGTGGGAAAAAAAATGACAATGATTTTTTTAAACTATATTTTTTGATTAAATCTGTGCAGAGTTTTTTTTTTTTTTTGGCCCTGAGTAGTTACAAGTTGCATTGGTCTAGGTTTGAGATGAAAAGGTGGCACAGAACAGATCTGTTCTGTTCATGCTGCCACACCACAGCACAGATACTACTTTGTGTTTAACACTTGGATGCACCTTTGTTAAAAAATGGAAACAACTTCGAGGCAGATCAGTGGGAATCTGTGTAAAATGGTCAAGTACCGATGCAGCCTGATGCATCTCTCCAGAATGAAGTCAGACTTAAGGTTACAGGCGAAGCTTATGTACAAGCAGATACTGTCAGACCCAAGCGCTCCCCCAATGCCATGCAAACGCTGATATTTATTAGTGTTCTTTTGGTTACGTAAAAAAATCTACATGCATCGCAATCTTTTTTTTTTTTTTACAAAAATAAAAGTATAGAAAAATTACCGTTAAAAATGATCTGAAAATGTTTCCTCCGATGTAAAAAAAAAGACTTGTCATTAGTAATATAGTATATTTATACGCATTAATATCTCATATTTTTAACTCCATCTATACTGTATATTAAAACTATAGTCAAATATATTCTTTTTGTATATTTCTCACACAGTGAAGTCATTTCTGGTAAGATTAGTACTAAATAATTAAAGTGTGAGAGGATATTATGACATTAGGCGCTCACACTTACCCATCCCCACCAGGAAAACCAATCAAAACAAAACCCTTCAAGTAGTCTTTTCTATTGTTGTTGTTTTTTTTTAAATCTCCTTCAAGATTTCATGTTTCGTTTCTCCTGATAACTGCATAGCGTGTCGTAGCGCGTCACATGTGCAACTTGTACAATATACATAGGATTTAACTTTTCATACAGAATTTTAAACATTTTTCTAATGAAATGGTGCAACCCTTAATGATGGATGTTCTCTTATAGTTTTGGCCTCCTGTGTGGCAGGAAACCTAAGTGCTTTACAAATGCACAGATGGGAAGAAGGAAAAATAAAAATCAGGACAGTTGGACAGAGACATATTGATGCTTAAGACCTTGTAACACAGGCCAACCCATCACTTGTTGGCAGATAGATTTACCATTAAATGCCACTTGCATGCCACAAATTAAATAACTTCATTTTGTTGGTTAAACTGCACATCAGGGATGGAGGGGACAAAAAGCAGTAAAGATAAAACACCCTCTAACTCACATCTACCTGAACACAAAATGCAAAATTCATACTCTCTTCACTCCATCACCAAACCAGGGAGAGGCCATCAAACCATAGCTAATCATCACGGCACAATGTTCTTCAACAGCAACAGAACAAACGTCATTGAAGTTTGAATGAGGATCAAAAGCAATGCTGATGCATCGGCAATCATGGTGAGAGGTATAACGCGAATAAAAGTTTTAGAAATGTCTGCACACACTCTTCTGCTCAGTAAGGAGTTCTTAAACAATGTTAAAGGAGAAACCCGGCAGTTGTCACAGCACTCAGTGTTGTTGTTTGAGGTCATGACAAGTGTCTGTAGGACAACAACCACAAACCCACTATTAATGTGCTCAAAATATCACTACCAGTGTTACACAACATGGAAATATTCCTTACAAGACCTGATTGTTTACAAACTGCATTAAACAGTACCCTGGTGTCCATTTCTACTTCCCACTGTGACAAGGATCAAACTGTTTTTTTCTAGGTGTAAAGTACTTTTCTGTGACCATATGTTGACTGTTTTTTGCAATGACTGACACAAATGCTCTTTAGGCCCCTGTTACATTACACTGGTAAAAATATTTTGAGCATGTTAAGGGGTTACCAACTTAAATGCATTCAAAGAAATGTAAAGAACAAGTAGGACAATTCAGGGTTCCACCCAATCAATTCCTACTGACCCAAACAACAGCATTTTGAAGTGAATACTGACAAATTTCTCATTTATCTTTTCCTCACAAAACAAAATCAGTCTTTAAAAACATCTATAAACATTTGACATTTTATGGAGATAAACTTATTTGAGAAATTTGAGATAAAATTTAAATAGAACATTATTTTGGCCATATTGCCCATCCCTACACCAAATATAATTGAAAAAAAAAAAGTTTTCTTCCTCTAAAGTGAGAAATTGATTCGTACACGATTTGGGGAAAAATAAGAGCAAATGTTCAATTGTTTTACAACTCAAGTTATCTAGTCATTATCTATCACCTCTTCATTAACACAATCAAGCCTCAATCTTTTTTTTTTTTTTTTTCAGAACTGAGGATGAATCTTTTTCTCTGGAGGTCAGGAGCCGGTGCAGCAGAGGAAGTGCACCACGTTCAGGTGATCACTTTGTTAACACAACACAGGTGTTGATGGAAAACTGGCCATTTCTCAAAAAAACAAAAACAAACCCAAAACAAACATGAACTATAAATTACAGTCTTCAAAGCCAAGGCCGTCCTGATGGAGGCTGGGAGTCGTGGGGAGGTACCGTATACACCCTTGAACAGTGTCTTTTAGGTCCTTAAAAACATTTTTGCATGCGTCCTAAAAAATCATATGAATTAAATGGTAAAAATGGCTAGCAGCCAAATTGTTGCAAGTATTTATTTAAAAAAAAAATTAAAAGGGAGAAATGCATAGTCATCTGCATCTCCTCCCTGTCCTCTGCATGTGTTGGCACATGACGTGAGCGAGGTCTGGTTGTAGTAGTTTGTGTCCATGGAAGAGTTGTCTTCGAGAGCCTGACATCAGGGAGGAGGAACACTGAGTCATACTGTGATGTCGTCTCCATTCAGAAATCAGTTCCTGCAGAATACCATCAAGTTCATTGTCATCAAAAACTTGTATGATATTTACTTTCATTTCCAACAATTTACACCTACAGAAACAGTTACTACTCACATTTATTCCCATATTTTTGTAGCCCGAACCACTGATTTAATCATTATTATTAGTCATTGTCATAGCTAATGTGTGAACCAGTAGAAGGTGGTTAAAGTGCAGCTCAACCTTAGATGCCCTCTTATTATCAGTAAGAAGGTAACACTATGTTCTGTTGCTTTTATCAAGCAAACTAAGTCCAATCGTGCACGCATATTTTAGTTGTGTCGGAAACGTATGCGAGTGGTCAATAAGACTGAATAAGTGCTGCATCAGTTCAGACAAATTAAAATGTCACAAAGACTGACTTGTGCGTGTTTGTGTTGGGAGAGGCCGAGAGTCGTACCTGGCTTTGTGTGGTCGTCTGAGAACTTAGCTGGGGACCCAGTTGTGTGTTGAGCCCTGTGAGGTGGCTGGGCCAGCATAGCCTTGGGTGCCAGGCAGAACGGGGTCAAAGTTGAAGTCGAGGCCATCTCCATCCATGAGGTCACTGTTGATGATGTCGTCCACGTCACAATCCAGATTTTCGGTGAACATATCTATATCCAAGTCAGTGGGCAGACGGTCCTGACCTGCAGAAAAGCAAGTGGGTGCTCCAAACTGACCCATGGACTGCAGATTCAGACCTGGCCCTCCGTGGAGAGAGCCCATGGCTGGCACTGTGGCATGATGGGCTTTGAGCACTGAGAGTTGTGAGGGGTCCTGAGACATACCTGAGAGAATCATCCCTAACCCCATCTGAGTGTGATACTGGTGCTGCTGCTGCTGTTGTTGTTGTTGTGTTTGCTGCTGCTGCTGCTGCTGCTGGTGTTGGTTGTGAAGATGGTGGTGGTGATGCTGCTGCTGCATCTGGGCCTGCAGTGCCATCGGGGCAACTGCATTTGGCTCTGGTCCTTTTCCTAACAGAAGTTGATTAGGTTTTGACCTCACACCCACCACAGATGAATTCAGACCCATTAGCCCCATTCCTCCAGGACTGGGCAAAATGGGGTTCACCTGCGCCATCAGAACATCAGTGGGAGGAGGGGAGTCGGAGGTGAGCAGCGCCTCCAGAGATGAGGGCACATGGGTGTTGTAGGTACTGCTCCCATGAGACCCAGAGTTGGACATGGGGTTGAAGAGGGAGTTACTGAAGGAGGGTGGGTCTTTGCCACTGGGCCCACATTGGGGGATAGAAGCCTGGGCTGCAGTGTGGCTGGACTGCTGCTGTTTGAGGTTGGAGGTTTGCATCTGATGAAAGGTGGAGAAGCTGGTTCCCCGGGGTAGTAAGGTGGACGCTGAAGGCAGTGGGGTGGGGGGTGCTGGTGGAGCTGTGCTGGGACTGGCCCCTCCCTGCTGCCCAGTCATCAATGTGAGACCATCGATCAGATCCAGTTCCTCCATGAGAGTTTCAGCAAGGCTTGGGCTCAGGCTCCTAGCAGCGTATCTTCCCAGCAACCCGTCTTCAGGCAGGCTGTCATCTTCCTCCTGCCCAGGAGCAATAGGGGACAGACGTCCGCTAAGAGTGCTGGCATTGGAGCTGGTGCGTGGACGGAACGTGGTCCACATGTCACTGTCATCCAGGCTGCCGCGAGATGAGGGGCTACTGCTGTTGACTCCCCATTTAGGAAACTGTTGAGATGAGTTAGGGCTGTCTGCACCAGCTGACCCCGTGCCCCCATCACCCTGCAGTGCTCCTCCAGCACTGCCCACTCCCGCCTGTTTCTTTGTTTGCTTTGCTCTCATCCGACTCTTTAACAGTTTACTGCTGTTGTCCATGGAAGCTGCCCTTCGTCGAGGTGCTTTCCCAGTTTTGCCTCCTTCTGGGTTGAGCATCCACCAGGAGCTCTTTCCTGTGGACTCATTGTGGACCCTCAAAAACTTGTTGTGGAGTGATAAATTGTGGCGAATGGAGTTCTGAGATCAAGGAGAAAAACAATGCAGTTAAATCACAACTCAAGAGCAAAATGTACTGTTTTACTGTAACTAAACCTTGGACCTGGGTGAAGGTTATCAGTCTGCCAGAGTTAGTTCAGGTCCAGGGTCTTGGGTACAGTATCTTTCTATTTACCACATATTTTGTCTGAAGTGCTGCACTATCCTACTTCCTAAGATGTTACAGTGAGCACCATAATGACATTTTTTTTTACTGATATTTGTTTATAAAGATTGAGCCGCTCATAAAACATGCTAATGTATACTAAATATTTTTGATGATTTATGTGGTCACCTAAAAAAACTTTATTTTAGCCCTTTCTTGCTGATTTTTTATACAATTAATTATCAAAATATTTTACATTTCTGTTGAAAATGGTAAAACGTACCCACTTCTTTTTCACATTATTTTATGCCTTAGAACTAAAGTGTCCATAAGACACAGGGCCATCGTTCACTAGCAGGTGATTATTTGGTATTTATCGCCCTCTGTGGGCTGTATTAAGAATAACAAACCAAGAGTATTCTACCCCTACTGCCTGATACTGTATATTGTAGAGTCCAAACGTGACTTTAAGACAAAAAAAAAAAACAAAAACAAAAAAAAAACCCTAAATTATTAGGAGTATTTAGCCCGAGTAAGGCTTCTGGGTCTCATTAATACAAAATTCAAACTACAACAGAAGAGAAATTATCACTAAAAATATAAAACTTAAGTGAAAATATCTTCAAATATGTTGTTTTAGTTGCAAATAAAACTGGTTCTGTTTATTATCATACAGTATCAGACAGACATATGTATTCATTTGTGAAAAGCTCACTTTACAGGAGTTTTATTAATCATCTAAACACAAAAATATCAAACTAGTAACTAATTAATACGAGTCAATAAATAGCTGCAGTGTGTTTAGTTTAAAGGGATCATACACTGGACATAAAGCAGTGAGAGACTTTAAGCGCAACAGGGCTTAACTATGTCCTGACACATTTACCTTACGTGACTTTAAAACTCTGTGATATAACCATGGCATTTTAAGATGTCATTCTGTGCACTCTCACCTTCCAGCCTGCTGAGCTGTTGCTGTCTCCTTTGTCTCTGAAGTAAGGCACCGTCTTCACCATCCACTCGTAGATCTGAGCCAGGGTCAGTCTTTTATCAGGTGATTCCTCTATGGCCTGACAGATCAGGTCTGCATAGCTCTGGTTTCCCCACGCGTTGCGGCGGGACGAGCCTTTGCGTGGAGTGGAACCGGGTACGCCCACTCCAGCGACGATTCCGCCCTCGGCTGCGGCCGTCACCGCCTTCTCCGGCTCGGAAGTGATTGGCTGCGGCTCGGCCTTGTCCTCGTCCGCGGGAGGAGTACCGGCGGCCGACTCGGCTCCGTCCGCGGACTCCGTTTTGACAGTAGAGATGTCGGGCCTGGGCAGGGGCCATGTGCAGGAGCGGGGTCTGCTCTGTGGTTCGAAATCTGGGTCAATCGGCGGCACCGACGACTCATCCATGACTGTCTGCTAATATTTCCACTAACCCACCGAAAACACTTAAAACATGTATCTTTAAACTTTAAAGTTAACTCGAAGCAGATGGTGATTGAGAAATTAATCTCCCTGACCCAAAAACAAGATGCTTCACCTCAGCAAGGGTCCAATAATCTAGACACACCACCAGCGTCGCTTAATCCTCAGATTGGAGATTAGGCAATCCAAATAATCTCCTTAATAGTAACTATCATAAACCTTCCGATTTATGTAAAATGAAGGAGGGACTTGAGTCTCTTTGTTTGAATAAAGATCAAAACAAAAGTGGCAGAGTGGCAATGAGAAGCACAACATCTGGATCTACATAGCCTTGAGTGTCAGATAAATACAGGTAGAAAATAATGCCTGAGGTACAAAAAACACATTTGAATACTTTTAAGTGTTTGGACTAAATTATTACTATCAAAATGGACCAGTCAACGGATTAGTTTGCCTATTACTGAGATGTTTCCTCACACGTCAACCTGTCAACGAACTCCAACTACAAAGTCCTGAAGTTATTATTAAAACCAAATATATTCAGAAACCAAAACAGAATTTAAAATGGATCAAACGGATCGACGACTGATAATAAAGGTCGGCAAATATTTAGTAATTATTAAAAGTTGCAGACTGTCAGTAGAAACAATATTGCAAATGTACTTTTCTAAAAGTTTAAACCGGTAACAAATCCGTTGTGAAGTTAATATAATGTGTAATGGATTTTTTTTTTAAATGGCAAAACGTAAAGGCTAATATCAAAAATTAAATGTCTGGCGTTACAAGGGAGATTCCCTGGAGCTGCGGTCTCGGTCTCCACTTGTAAACAACGTGACTTCTGATCTTCATACAAGAGCAGACCACACAGTTACTGACCACTGTGGTGAATAGAAGTGTAAAGGATGTAGAGATGATCAGAGCAGAACCTTTGTTCATTAACGGTCTGTCTGTGGGAGTAAAATACTGTACACAATCGCATTGGCCTGTGGCTTAAAGTCAATGGACCACCGCAGAAATGAGCGAGGAATGAGAATAAACTCAAACAGAAAAAAGCCAAAGTTCGAGTAGTGTTGAAATAGTCAAAGTTTGAAAAATGAGAACTTGGAAGTAGTAAAAGTTCGAACTTCAGGTCCGCACGGTCCGCCACCACATTGCGGACAAGCGCATGTCACCATCTGCCATGTTTCTCCACACTCACTCCCGCCGCGGCACACGATGCTCTCACAAACGTCGTCAAAACTCCTCCTTCCACCGCGGCCCACAACTCGGCTGGGCTTCTCCGCGACCAAGGGGTCGGCGAAGAGAGAGCCACCGAGCGGAAACCCGGCCGCCGAAGAAAAGCGGAGTCTCCTCCGTGCTCAGTCGGCTGCACTTTAAAAACAGCACGACGTTAGCTGCTTTAAGCTGCTGCCGCTTCAGAGTTTACAATCCGTGGAAAAGTCCGCCAAAACCGACACAGAACTCCTTCCAAGTTTACGTTTTCCGTCCGCGGTGAGTCTGAGTGGAAATCCTTGCGTTGATACGGCGAAAATATTCACTCGTTCAGTCTCTTTTTGACTTGTTTTGTTTTGTTTTGTTATGAGTCGAGGAGAAGACTCCCTTCTGACGTCTGTTTACCACTGTCAGGCAACAGGCTCTGCGCATGCGTCCAAAGGCATTCTGGGAAAGTGAGTAGTTCACGTGACGTGACAGACGTAAACAGCGGTTAAAGAGGGTCACAAAAACAGGTACCTGTGTAGATGAACATTATGTAACAGATTTAGAGCGTGTGCTAAGCCACGGCACACTGAATGTATTTAACATACAATGCTACAATTGGACATCCAAAAACAAATTAGTGTTTTTCTTCCCAATCTGAGTAGTCTAGATCTAATAATTAGGCTAATTATAATATTTTACAGATAACATTTAGATAAATGTTTCTATATACTAAAACCAAAATACATATTATTAGCATACTTTACATAATGCACAAAATATGCTAAAATGTGTAAACAAATAAATAAACAAATAAATAAGGATTTATTACAATACAAAGTCCTACAAAGTAAAATACAAACAGTGAAATGGGATGTGCCCTTGAGTGTTAGCTTAGTTTTTGAAGCCCCATATATAACAATAAAAAATAATTGTATGTCTCTTAATTAATGATGTACCTCGATTACATTTAGTACGCATTCAACTGTAAGTGGATCCTCTTTACACTATTTCCTTGAATCTATTCCTTACTGACACTAATAGAACTTTAACAAGATATCTGTCCTCATGCTGTGGAGTATTCCTGTGCCTGGTTTCCTAAATATAGCTCTAAAATATATTAGGTTCTCTGCTGGCCACTACTGGTTTAAGCTAAATACATTATACTGTTTTTTTCAGTGGTTTACTGGTTTTCACTTCTACTCTGTAAATTATTGCTAGTCATTCAATGAAACATTCAAAAGTATCCCACAGTAATGGTTTCTCATGTTTTTCATTAAGCTGAAGAAACAAAAATATTTCACATTTTATTTCTACCTCTTGAAATTAACGTTCTGCCCATTACATAATACATCTCCTAAACCACTTTATATGATGTTTAAATGGTGCTCATAAATGCTACATCTCTGTTTCTAAGATTAAACCATGCAGAGTCATAACTGAAAGAAGAGTGGCTGCCTATTTAAAATGCCCTTGTGGCTCCAGCTGTCTGTGAGCCAGCTGTGGCCTCACTTGATGACTAACCAGATGACAGATAACTTGTATGCAATTGTCGGCATCAGAAAACCTGAAAACACCAGCTCTCTGCAAGTAACTAGGACCCACCACAGTGCTGCACTGTCATTGCAGCTTATTAATTAAAGTTTTTTTTGTGCCGGGCCAACACTTACTGTGTATGTTCTGTCTGGTTCAATGTCGGACTCAGTTCTTGCTAAATACATATTATTTTATCTTAAACATGTAAGCAAGTTTTCAAAGTTCAGTCTGAACTTATTCTGCTTGTCTCATTTTAACAGGCAATTCTAACAATTGCCTATGTAAGCCTAGCACAATTCAAAATTTGTTTTACCCACTGGGAATAACTTATAGTGTTTTTGGCCAAAAGACATTGCAATACCTTGGAACTGCATTCAGACAAAAGAGTAGCGAAAATTGTCAAAACTATTTAACCAGGGTTAAGAAAAATTATAAAGCATTTTAGCTAACATTAATTTGTCCAAAACAAACAAACAAAACAAAAAACAACAACAAATGTATTGTTGAACGGTGACTTGCACCGGCCATGTTGACGCAGAGACACCTATTTTAACGACTTCATTTCCCAGCAGCGTTTGCGTGTGTGCGCCGTGTTTACAACCAGCTGACATCCGGCGTCTTCCCGTCCATTAGCCACCGATACCTGCTGTCAGCCATATCGGTCTACACTCGATATTTTCCCCACGAAAAGCACTCGTAGCTCATTCGGCAACGCGACTGAATGCTAAATCACATAATATCTATTCAACCCAGGTGAGAGTGAGAGGATAAAAATATCGTTTACCCTCATTTCTACCGCAATGTTAGATTAGCAGCTTGTGCTAATGTTAACACTTGTCTTCTCCGTTAGCACGGCTTTTTTCGGCATCCTTTAGGACATAACTCGGTGGCAGGCGGTATAGTCCAAGAGACATGAGTTTATCGACCAAATAAACCCTTCCTGCATAAATATAAGGGCCAGGCTTATTCAGGGATTTGCGGGAATTTAGCCAGTGAAAGTTGTGTTAGCCAACTAGCCTCTGTAGCGTAATGCGCTAACTGGACCTGTAAAGGCTTGAGCTATTGTGCTTCCTTCATTTATATTATACCTCGAACGGGTGAGCCTGCTGGTTCCCACTTAAATCCCGGTATAAGTAACTAGCAAGTGGATTGGGTTTTGGTTTTGTCTGCTAACACTGTGCTGGCAGAGTAGTATCCGCTCGGTAGGTCAGAGGTGATCATCGGTGCCAGGCTGTGGGAAGCAAATTCTCAGTGACTGTTGTTCGTGTCAGGGCTCTGGCCCCGTCTCTAGCAGCTGAAGCACACCAGTCCTGTTTCCTCAGCAGCAAGTCCACGGCCTTCCTTTTACCTGAACCATGACCAACCAGAGGGATCTTGATATGGTAAGTTAGATGGTAAGAGCTTTGATCTTTACGAGTGTTATTACAAAAACACAAATCAAAGGAGTCCACCGCACATCATCTATCATAACCTGACCACACTGAAAACCACCTAAATAAGTGCGTTTGTTTTTTAAAAGGTTCACCTGTTAACGAAAAGAAGGAGTGAAGATTACCAACAGGGCCACCGACACGGTGGTTACTGTTGTTTTTGTCTTAACTTCTGTCTCTTTTTCACACTGAATGATGGGTGAAAGATTAATGTATAGTTGACCATTAACAGATGGACTTCACAAGAAAGTGTTTAATTGTAGAAGTTTTAAACCATGTTGGTAGAAAATATGCATCTTGCAAACATCTGATATAAGTACTAATTTTGAATAATTGACTTACAGTAATTGCATTTATCATAAGTACACGCCCTTAGTGCAAATGAGTATTAAACACTTTTATTCACAAATTATTCACTGAGCTGTAAAAGGTCAGTTTGGTTAATAGCAAAATGTGCATCAGTATTTTTAACATGCTGGAATGAAAATGTGTCACTATAGCACTGCATTTTCACTAATAAAAATGGGAATGATGTAGGGGAAAATTTGCCTTTATACCTAGATATATACCAAATATCTGCATCTAAACAGATTAAAGGCTGAATGGATGTTTTATGTACATGTCAGTGGTTGACCTGGAACCAAATTCTGGCCAAAAATAATCAGAAGGGACAAAAACTAATTTCAACAATTAAGAAAATGTATTTTTGGTCTATAATGATTGAGGCTTAATGTTACATTTAGCATAAAAATAACGCAAAAAATTCCAAACTCATAAACGGTTGTGGGGGTTCATGGATTAACTTATGTCCTCAAGTGCTTAGCTGGGACAGTGACTGCTTTTTCTGTGAACACCATCTGTCTAATCTGATGTAAAACGTTGCCCTACTTTCTTTTCAGGGTTTAGGTAGCAATTGATTGTACCCTTGTAATGAGTCACCCCATCCTACATCAACCCGCCAACTAGAGGATGGAAAATCAGAATAATAGCAGAATAAACTGACCTACAGAACAGAGTAACATGGATAATTTATGTTTTTATAATATATATATATGTATATGTATATATATATATATATATATATATATAGTATATATATATATATATATGTATATATATATATATATGTATATATATATGTATATATGTATATATATATATATATAAATGGAATATATATACACTGTACATATATATACACTGTATACACACACACCCATATATATAGCTGCACTTTTCCGTTTCATATATAATTTACAATTAATTTAATACATTTCCAAAATGTTGGTCTTGATCAGTTTGATTTCTTGCCTAGCACATTAGCTTGAATTTTATTGTTTATTGGAGACCTTTGTCTGGATGTTGCCATGCGCAACTGGGCAGATTTGACATTGTTTTTATTTTGTCGTCGATGAACGGAATGGGGACAAAGCCTGTTAATGATGACATGGGTATGCAACTCCACATTGAGGTTATTTAGTTCAGAGGGGGAAGGGTACAGCAGAAGACCACCGAGGCAGGATTGAATTTGTAAACAGATCAGAGAGTGGGAACATCCCTCATTGAACATCACACCTCCTAGCGAAGTCTTTGTTCTCTCTCCTGTGATTTGTGAACCATATAAAGTTCTTTGACCTTTATAAGAAGGGCACATGTCAGAGAAACAAAATAAATCTGTCCATTCTTACTTGAAACTGAGGTGGCTCTCCATACTAATTTATTTGATGAGTTATTTGACCTCAGTAATGTTCTTCTGAAGCTGATGAAATAACAAATAGAAATAGACCAACAAGAAGCTGCACTAGCTGTAGTGTATTCATGTGGTGTTACATTCGATCATTTAATGTGTCAATATTATCATAAAAATTACTTATACATATAAGAAAATAATACTTTCTCAAGAAGAATGTGAATAGATATTGTACACTAATCACTGGTGAAGTTTAACTGCCACATACCAAAATCTTCACACTTATATTAATTAAGAATTTTGAAAAGCAATCCTCATTGGTTGATAAAGCCAGTTTTTTCATAGTTTAGATCACTATCTCATGGATGTTTTATTTTTGTTTAAAAGATATTTGTGGTAAACATCTGTTTCGCTAGTTTTTGTGTCACCTATAGAACAACGTATTCGATAAACCCTTCTGATGCTCCCACCCGCATATAAATGCAAATGTAGTATATGCAGAATACTCCTCAGGGTTACGCACTGGCCATGTAAATTTAATGACGTGGCCCAGAGCGGTCTGGGACACCTGGGGTTATCGTATTAGACCAACAGCTTGGCGAGGAGCTCCGAGTGTCCCTAAGACTAAAGGGCTAGTGTTCTCCCTCTCAGCCCCGCCCTTATCTGTCAGGCAACAGGGACTCACTCAGTGTAAGTCCTCAGTGAATGAAGTAGGCCGGACGAAGGGTGGAGATCCCGTGTGGATAAATTGAATTAGACTGGAATGCCTTTCTCTTTGCAGCCTCCTGAGCGTCACCTCATGTCTGGAGAGGTGAGAAGAAGTGGATGAATTCCACTTACTCTAAATAAGGGGGTGGAAGTTTAATGGAAGCTTAGTTTATGGTGGTAAATATGTAAAATATTTAATTATGTGATTGTTTGTTGGGTTGTAGGTGCATCTGCGCCTTATCCTGGTCAGTGGGAAAACACAGGACTTCACGTTCTCCCCAAACGACTCAGCAACAGACATTGCCAAACATGTATTTGACAACTGGCCTGCAGGTATGTTTACATGACTGTTTTAACTACACTGTATCTAGATTAGTTGACACTCCCTGGTCAGCTCGATAGGTACTCCACAATGTGACTGATGTAGTTCAATACAATACTAGTCATCTGTTGGTTTCAGTCCAGTGTACCTAATCAGAAAATTAGGGATTTTTTAAAAAAAGCTTTCATACATTGTGACACTCTAATTTGAGGCTGTGAACATGTAAAACAGTGAAAATAATCTACAAACAGCATTTTGAATTCTAGTTAAACTCCTGTTTATTTACAGTTTTCAGTTGGTGTCCAATTTCCGTGTAAGAAACATTACATCACGTTCTTTTCAAGGAAGTTCAGCTAAACATAAACAGTGTTCACATGCTTACTGCTGCATCTTTGTCTTTGACAGGGTGGGAGGAGGAGAGGGTGAGCAGCCCTAGTATATTGCGCCTCATCTTCCAGGGACGATTCCTTCATGGCAATGTTACCCTGGGAGGTAAGAGACAAAGATGTTATGTTTATACACATGAGGTCTCTTGACTGGAAATTATCCTGGAAGTTTCACATTCTAAGAACCAAGTGACCTAATTAGGAGTTTACAATCACAGCCATTTACATCAAGGTCAGTAAATGTGAGAACCCTCAGGAGGATTTTCAGTAGTGGTTCCTGTAGAGGGGGATATTTGTCATTATATTTTTATCTAGCATCAAGGGAGTTGCTGTTACAGTGTAGTTTCAATTATATGCAATAATACATTAGGAACTGTGTGTGTTTCAAAGATGTGAGCAAATTGAAAATGAAACACTATTTCCACTTTAAACATTTATAAATGAGTTGCTCATTACCTCCTCAAAACTCTGGTTGTGGGATCAGAGTCCACTTTTTCTCCTCACTGTTTTTGAACCTGAGATGAACACACTTTAAGCAGCCGAGTCAAAACATAACAGCGTAAGCAGACTGTCAGACTTTTTTTTTTTTTTTTAATCTAATCCTATTAAACTTTTGACCTCATGGATTCTCTGTCCCTGAGATGCTGTTGTGTCATTAAGACCAAGGATTTGCAGACTGAAGTTAACTTTGTGAAATAGGATGGGACAGGAAATTGAGTGGTTTTGGTCCCAAACAGGTTTGTACAGTTTCTAATAATAGTCTCCATTGTTTTTCTGAAATATGTGATCTCTCTTTACCTCCACTGCTCTTCCTATACTCACTACAAACAATTAGTTATTAATAATGAATATGTGGGAAAACAAAACCATGAATTTTCTGTGTAAAGAACTTTGTCTTAGGCTTGTTCTGTTTGCTCTATTATACCATATACAAAGATAGAACACCTGCCCTCATGAGTCCCATTCAAGTATAGCCTAATTTTCCTTGAAATACTTCATTATAATATTTGCTTTTGAAATTTCATTTCTGTGATTTGTGATCCTTTGTTTATATCTGTCTTTGTATATCACAATATTGACTCCAGGACAAAGAGAACTATTTCTGTTTTCTGTGTTCACAGCTCTAAAGCTGCCTCCAGGCCGAACGACTGTTATGCACTTAGTTGCCAGGGAGACTCTTCCAGAGCCCAACTCTCACGGTAAACTTCTGTCATCTGTGTCTCTCCTGAATGGTTGATGACTTAGGTTTTCTTCAGGTTTTTTTTATTCACAATTGTCCCTCAGCCACAACGTCCTGAATGTCATCTGTCTGAGAAGTTTCTTCTACTTGGTGTCATGTGATCTCACGCTGCTGATCTGTGTTTGTAGGTCAGAGGAACAGAGAAAAAACCACAGAAAGCAACTGCTGTCTCCTCCTGTAAAGCCAAGGAAATGGCCCTGTCCCTCCTGCCCTGACCTCACACACATATACACACACACACACATACACACATATCTATACTCTGCTGTGTCCTGCCTGTCATCCCATCAGCTGTGGAGTTGGAATAAGTCACAGGAAGTCTGGTTCACTTGAACTTTTGTCCAGTCTGAGGCTTTTTTTTGTGCCAATATGTACATGTTTCCCCAACAAAAAACTCTAACATCACCTGCAAAATTTGCTGTTGATCCTCATTTCTCTTCTTTGATGTTAAACTTTACCTTCGCTGCTGGACAAGTTTAAAAGAGCCGTCACACGTAGTAAAAAAAAAAAAAAAAAGACCCAGGAACTTGATAGTCTTCATGGACACAGAAGTGCTGTAAAGGAGGCGTGGGCTTTAACCATTATCTACTCGTCACATGGATGTTATCCTGTGTCTTACTCAGCGGTGTTAACCCCTCTCATTGCACTTAACCAGTTTGTCAAATCTAAGGTGTTTATAGTGTCGTCCCCTGCTCTTCACACAGCCTTTTCTCTTTGATGAATAAACCTCCACACATGCTATAGAAATCGTTCCATCCTCCTAGACGGTTCCGGCCTCTTTATAAACTGAAACATTGGCTTTGTCTGAGCACCACTGTTCTGTTTGTTCCTGGCTGTAGATCAAGACAAATGACACTTTAATCAGGAGGAGCCGAGTTAACACCTGAGGGATGTTCAGGTCCACAATGAAACAGGAACAGGCTCTCAGCGAGGCTTTTCAAAGATGGACGAAGAGGATTTGTTTATGTGCCATCTGGTGTCACGTTCTCACTCATGGCAGTGAGTTAATTGATGACACTGACGACATTTTGTTGTAACAGGAGCCGTCATGGCAATCAGCAGCGAGATGATGATGGTAGAAGAGGAGGAGGAGGATGTGCCTCTTCACCTGGGAACTGAAAACAAAGGCAGGGGTGGGGGGATTCTCCATGTCAGGAGAAAAGAATGAGAAAAGGAAAAAAAAATTGCAGTGTTTCATTTGTTGCTGTCTTTACTTCTTGTTTGCCTTTGTGGAAATTCAGTAATATCATTAATATTGAAATTTAAATATATCAATTTTTATCTTGTGTATAGGTATTTGTTGAATTTTAGTGTATGCTTGGGCGATTGTGTAAATGAGTGAGTGATGCACGTGGCATAATGTTTGCAGTCCAGTGTGGGCATGTGGTCTTAAATGATAGGTGGTGCATTGGGAGTGTTACAGTTTCTTCAGAAACACTTGGAAACCTTTTGATTCCTTCCACCGAGTGTCCTTTGGTTTGTGTTTATGTCGATCAATGTCACTGCTATGAAGTTTAGCTCCGTAAGAATAAATGTAAAAACAACTAAAATGCAATGTGGTCTACATAAAAGCTTGTATTATAAATTAATAAATCTTTAAGTAAGGCAACAAGGATTGTTCTCTTTTTATATTGTAAATTGTGACCATAATTAATTTATCTGTTTCTCTTCATTATAGTAACGTTGTTGACTTGTGTGTTCCTCTGCTGTCGCTGTCCTCCATTGTGACCACAGTGTAAATTCTGAGAAAAGCTCAAGATAAATCCTCGTCACTCTGACCATTGCAGATATGAGTCTCCTTACATGCCAGGATGGTGAGGTAAGAGATGTCTAGCTGCAATGTCACCACTAGATGTAGCTGAATGCTACACGTTGAACCTGTGGAACAGTGAAACTTACAAGTTATACAACTGTAATGTAATTGAACAATATTTTTCTGTTTCTCATATCAGGGACCTCCACAGCGGACCATCTGAATCCTTTTCCTGTCACCAGTATGTTTTCCAGTTTTTTTTATCTGTGGACACCTAGAAGCAAACCATATGGAGGTATTTAAATTAGAAATGAATTAATTGTACAAAAGTGTAAAGGTGGCAGGAGAAAGATAAATACCCCACTAAGTAATTATTAAGATTAGGAAGAATTAATCAACGATTTTTTTTGGTGATGTGTCTGAATTCTAAAGGGCTTAGTAATGAAAATACGCACAGTTGCATATGCTAACCACTAGATGTCAGTATGTAAACGTAACTTCATATCGGGTTTGCAGATATTCAATGCAGGATGACATGATTATTTTGGCTGCGATCCATGATCCTTTCAGACGAAGAGAATCGTTTGGCTATCAGTAAACACAGAGACTAAAGTGTCCAAAGTTAAAGGAAAGCAGACTTGTAATAGACCGTGTCAAATGAACTCTTTACTCGGTTGTTGATCACCTTGTATCTTGTTCCCTTCTTGATATTCAGAACTTTTTGTATCATCGTCCTGAGAAATCCACCCTTGGCGTCCAGGTTTCCGTGGACATTGGCACCGTCCTTCACTCCCTTTCATCACATTTCGCGTCCAAAGGCCTGTTATTGTGTTAAAACTCCTTGTCATTTAAATGCCTCCTCACATTTTCCACTGTTCATATCTGACCTGTATTTTGCAACACTTTGTTTTGACAGAGTTGAGGCCTGAACAGAAGCTCTCATCTCAAACACTAAAACGAGAGTCCAGGGAAGAGAGCTGTTGAAGTTAAACTGCTCCTTCAGCCCCTCAGGTTGAAAGCAGCAGCAGCAGCTGCTGCTTTGGGATGAAATTCTGTCTGCGGTCGACATGACTCAAAGCGCGCGTGCAGCCAGTGTTTTATTTTTTTTTTAGCAGGCTCCAGTCCAACCAACATAGACTGCTGCACTCTCAGCTGCCTGGGCTCCTAACAGCCCCAATATGAGGGAATATAATCCCACTTTGGCAGTGGTGTGAGCTGCTGCTGCAGATTATCCAGCTCATGAAGAAACAGTGTTAGTGGAGTCAAACTGGAGCTCAGTGAAGCTGCTGCTGTTTCATTATGCTGAAACATTTTTGTCATGGGGGCCAGAGAGACATTAGGCAGTAAAAAAGGGCCACACACTGATTCAAAGAACACAAGTTTTTCCACCTCTGGCAACTGCCTTATTAAATTTACTGCTAATTTAATCCAGTCAACATGAACGTGATTTATAGAGACTATTTCTTTAAAAGCATATAAGTAGCTATTAGTATGACTATTAGTGATACCAAAAACCTGAAATGAATAGTAATCTTAGTATTAGCAGCACCGTAGCAAAGATTATATTCAGATAAATCAGTAATTGACATTAAACATATGCAGGAAAAATAGCCAGGAATGAAAACAAAATACGTAAAATAAATAGTCTGTGTCTGATTTTGATGTTCCAGAAAAAGCTAATTAGGAATTGCGTGTCGAAAGTTGAATTGTTGTAGTTGAAGCTTGTGTTAAGGCGTGTAGACAGATTAAATGTGCTTTTTTTCCTCTTGATCTAATAATCTTATTAGAAAAACACTCTTACTTGAAACTAGTCTTGGCTAAACTGAATTGGCCTGAACTCGTGTGTTTTAAAGTTGTCATAGTGTCTAGTGGCAGGGTGTTAGATGTGGGTGTAAAGAATCAGAACACTGATACCTAGGATACTTTATGATTTAATGCATTTTTTTCATGCAGCGTTTTGCAGTTGGACCTTGTTACAGTGTAGTCGTTGTGTCTTCTCTGCTCCCTGTTGATGCTCATGATATAAAAAGATAAGCACCTACTGTATCTCTACAGGGGGCTCTAACGTGTGTTGTTTCATGTCAGGCTAAATCCTTCTCCCTTCACTACGACTGACCTTTTTCATATCAGTCATTTTTATGAAAACCAGCTGTGAACACACAAACGCAAAGAAGTGTTCGAGACATGAAATATTTTAAATCTATGTTTAGCATGTTCCTGAGCCACGTGGATAATATTTATTATCGCAGCACAAACTCAGGTTTAAGCCCACTGGTTTATAAATCAATAAAAACACTTTAGCGTTGCCAGTAACACCAGATAATGTTTGACATACGACACAGTCAGCTAAGGCACAAGAAGTTGACTTTTCTTGAAAAATGAACTCTCACATCCTACACAAGACGTATATAATTTTTATGGGCCCATTTGTATGTTGCAGGGATACTGCCCTCTGTCAGTATTTTTCTCTGGGGGGATAAATTTACCAGTGGGAAATAACCTTGGTATGGGACCTATTTTTCTCCAACATGTGAGAAGTGATGTTTCATAAAATGCAATAGTTTTCCTCTGTAAAACCAAAGGCAGCAGAAGAAAATATGTTTTCAATGAGGTGTTTTATTATGTTTTGGGTAGAAGAGTGTGTGTATGTTTCCATCAGTGTCCATCTGCTCCCAGCAATCCTTTAGCAGTCTGAAAAGACAGAGTTCACTGGGCCAGTGTGAAAACATACACACTTCTGCAGGCCTGGAATTAACACAGCAGGGTGTGAGCCAAAGCACAGCCTTGTTCCTGATGCTGCTGCTGCTGTTTGTTATCATCCACAGACCTCTTCTACTAATTGGTGAAATGTTGTTCTCAGATTAGGGAACTACCTCCAGAAGGACCGAGGACATTGACTACTGACCAAATGTGTGCTTTAATTCCATTCGAAAAAACCAAACCATGACAGAAATGTGTATGAACGAGGATGAGGTCAATCTTTCAGAAAAGAACTCTTTCCAACGTGGAGTTGTTGTTCAAGACATAACATAGACTGAGTTGTCCTTCTTTAGCCAAGCAATAACAAACTTAACCGAAATGGTCAGATTTTTAGTCCAGACTTGTGGACTGGTGCTATGCAACATGAATCATTCCCTGATTTAAAAATATATATTTATTTTGTAAGGGAATGATTTTAGGTTGGAGCCCAAATTTTTACTGCTAAATGCTAACATCACATTCTGACCTTGAACTGCAGCTCTATGTGTTAAACAAAGATCCAGAATTCTTCATTAACCCTTTCTTCTGATGATTTATTTCACCAGATGGTCTCCACTTCGCCCTGACGTTCCACTGTTGAAGAGCTGCGGATTTGACAACAATATCAGCTCTGTTCACAGGACGGAGGGAGAAATGGAAACTTGTGGAGTTCACACACAGAACCACACATTTCTCAGCATTACTGTGGAGCAGAGGGATGGAAAAGAAATGCCTTGGCAGTAATATTTATTACAATCGGAGTCCTGGGTTTCCTTCTGCAAACATGAGATGACCAAACCTTATGGCTTCTGTGATTTTATATCACAGTCAGGAAGAGTCCTTTATGTCAACAGCTCAGCCGGAGATACAGACCCAGAGTGTTCTTCTTCAGACTGCCAGGTTTTTGACTTTTGACCTTTGTCTATCTTCAACCTTATCTTCTACACTGTCCTTTGCACTTGGGTGCAACATGCACATGTGCCTACATGTGACTTTGATGGCCTGTGGAAAAGTAATGTCCTGTAAGAAAATGAGTTTGTGTTTTGGCACTGAGACAATTTCCTGCTGTGTAATGAAGTCTGATATTGTCTTCCTCTTTATCTGAAAAATCTTCATCTGTCGGGGGACACACGGGGAACTGGAGACATCAGGCATCAGGACACAGAAGAGAGGACAGGACAGGACAGGAGAGGGCAGGACAGGAGAGGATAGGACTGGAGATGAGGGGAGAGGTAAGATTCTCATGCAAGGACAATGCAATTTACATTATCTTATATACTGTATAATACATATATAATACAGGTATTTACACAAATCCAAGCCCGTGTCATGTATTCAACGATTTGACTGTGAGGCAGAGAGATTTGCTGGGATTGGAGCCAATCCTGGTACTATAATTTTAAGGCCTAGTACAATAAGTATTTACTCTTCATTATTGAGAAACCTTTTGATTAAATTCTGTCGGCATGTTCTTGCTAACATTAAACTATTTCTTGGCAAACATAGCAATATCTGCTCTAGTCTTTACTTTTGACGATTCAACTACACCTTACCCAATAAAACATAGTATTATTTATTTTCACAGAAATGTAGTTGGCCTTCAATGCTGTTTACATTTGGCCCCTCTGGCGTTGTATTCTCTGCATCACATTAATAATTAAACTCCATTTGTGTTGTAATGTGATGCGTCACCAGAAATAATCAAAGCACAACGTACGCGTTAAAGGGAAACCCATTCATCATGTTAGTGGCACATAAACTTGTTGGATATGTTTTGAGTTCTGATTGGTTACAGTACCCATGAGTCAGCACTCCAGACCGCTGGCGGCTGACAAACTTTTCTGCCTCCAGGTTTTACTTTGAATGAAAACCACACAATAAAGCACGTAGGGAAACATACTAAAGTAATAACAAACAGAGTTGAGGCCAAATGTTGGGAATGCAGTCCAGCTAAATCTGGACTGGTTCACTGAACACTCACTCCTCCTGATTAAAGACCTGCAGTGTGTCTGTACCTGTGCTGGCTCTGGTTTTCTCCAGTATTACAATCATTACATTATACAAACAATGTCTTTTATGCTAAAAGTGCTGCAGCCCTGGACTTGTGTTCATGTTGA